TTGCTCCTGGCCAGAGCGCTAGACTATATCAGCCTTGCTATCGCAGTGCGAGCGCTCACTATCACAGCAGCCATCACGTTAATAATAACCATCTGAATCAGTAATGACAAAAACCACTACAACTGGCTGGAGGAGGGGGAAATGGGGAGGTGTTGGGTATAGAGTTTCAGTTTTGCAAGACAAATTCTAGAGAGCGATTGCACAACAATATGAATATTCTTAACACAACTGAACTGCACACTCAACATGATTAAGATCGTAAATTTTATGTTATGTTATTGTAAACCACAATTAGTAATTTTACTAAAACTACTATGGGTCTCAGTACCTAAGTGTTTAGAATATGCTGGGAACTCTGCTGTGATCCACACAACAGCCCTGAGAGGTCGATGTTATCACCTCCACTTCACAGATGAGGAAGAATGACTCCCGAAGTCACCGCTATCAACAGGGGAGCCGACTTACACCCCGTCTGTCCGGCTCCAGCGCTCTGCCCTTCCCAGCACACCCAGGGCCTCTTCATAACTCCGTGACCTCTCTGCTCGCCCGCAGGAGAGGAAAGCCCTTAGTCGCTTATCCCGGGATCTAGAACCAGAGGAATCGGAGTTCTGGTCTACCACATTGTTCTCTTAGAACCAAGACCCCCACTTCCTTTAAAAAGTGTGTTTATGGTTCAACAATGGCTGCATCTTGTGTTGGGTCTTTTTTTGGCTCTTGGAGTGGAAACTCTGCCCTTTGTCTTTAGTACAAAGAAACAACATTCATTGCAGACCACTATCTCTGAAGTCCTTCTGCTCTGGTCCTCAGAGAGGATGCTGGCTTTCGCTGAAGGTTAGCGTAGGAAAACCATTGGAAAGCTGCAGATTTGTTCATTTATTCAACTATAATGTTTCTTATGATGTAAAAGTTTTTAAAGTTAATATAAATATATAATTATATTGATGTATTATATATTTCCTATATTGATATAATTTATATATCAGTGATATATTTTATTAGTGATCTATTCTTTGTTATCTTACCCTATTTATTATATTATATATTTATTTGAACTAGCATTTCTCCCTTAGCTAACAAATGGTTATCAAGAGTGGAAAAATATTTTAACAAAATATATTTGAAATATAACATTGCTTAAATATAAGGTGTACATGCTAATTTGATACATTTATATACTGTATGCGTTCAGGATTGCCACTGCAGCGAAAATTAGCACCTCTATCACGTTACATATTTGTCATTTCTTTATAGTAGTTGGAATATTTCAGTTCCAGTCTCAGCAAGTTTGATGATTATAATAATGTTGTTTATTCATTTTAAAAATAATAGTGTTGCTTACATGTGAACAAAATATGTTAAATCACAATGAGGCTAGCACGGATGACATCTATTCCATTTTCTTCTTTTACCTGAAATCCAAAAACTATGTGCCTGTCTAGAAACTTGAATCATAATTTTTAAGAGCGTCACTGGTGGTCAGGTCCAACCTGCTTGGCCAGATGGTAAACTGAGGTCCTGAGGGTGTGGGAAGTGCGCCCACGGTCATGACTCAGAGTGCGCACACAGCACGGCCACCAGAAAGCAAATCAAAGAGATATTTAAAGACCCACTAAACATAAACACAACGTGAGCCATGCCAGCCCACATCACGTAATTTCTCTGGAATAGGCATCTGATAAGGATCACATTTCCATTTCCCTTTATATTTTTCCAACAACAGCTCATGATACAATTTGTACAGCTCTTCGTAACTTGGACTGGGGAAAATTTTGGGAAGAAAAAAAAAAGTCCGTGTTTCAAAGGAACCAGATCTGATAAGGGAACAGAAATATTTACTCCATTATTTCAAGAGGCAGGTTCTTTGTTTCTCAGACGCTTCCTGTTTTAAAAATAGCTTTCCACAACTGTTCCAGGACTTGAGTGTACTTTTCTATGAAATTGGCTTTGAAGATGTGATTTCGTTTACTTGGAGCAAGTTGCAGATAATCAGTCATTCTTTTTCCAAAATGATGTTAAGACCAGGTATCCTGAGCCCTTGGGTTCTGGTCCAACTGCAGCTGGAGCTGGATCACTGGACCTGGAGGGGATAGGAACCCGCTGCCCCAGGTGGGGGAGCCGGGGGACATCACCTCCTAAGGGGACAAAGGTTTCCAACCATCAGGGCAGTAAGTCGCCAATATTACAAAATCAGAAGTTGCCGCTCATCTGAAGATGTGACTTGCAGAAATAGAGTGTTACTTTTCATTTTGTTAGGTGTGATCACGGCACAGCGGTTATGGGGAAAGGTGCCACATTTTTTAGCAACACGTACTTGAACATGGATGGGTAACATGACGTCACAACCAAATTGTCTTAAGGCACGTCTGCCAAAGGGAGGAAAGGCAGAAAGGGATTGGTGAAGCGAAAGTAGCAAAATCAAAACGAGAGTTGATGCTGGGAGATGGTTGTGGGGATTTACTGTGCTCTTCTTGCTGCTATTATGGTTGGAGATTTTCATCAGTCATTTTTTTCACACTGGATACTTTGTTTTTCAGGAAAGGGTGTGAGTGTTCTCTGTCAAGGAAGAGGCAGAATAGAGCCAGTGGGAGTGGGGATGGGCTGGTGGATGCAAGGCTGTGTACACAGCAGATGTGTGTGTATGCATGTCTGTGTGTGTGTGTGTGTGGCTGGGGAAAAAGGAAAAAGATTTAAAACTGGCTCATAACCTTATTTTGGAGGGGACTGAGAACTTCTAAGAATCAGATGAAAAAGTCATGGACAAAAACAAATATACACAAAAAACACAAACATTGAAGCCATCCCATTCCCCTTGGTAAGAACTCTTTCGATCCATTGCATGGTCTTCAACTCAATGCATTGCAAGGTCTTCAATTCAACGTATGGTCTTGCATTTATAGGACATAAAGAGCCTCTTTCTGTGTCTTTTCTGGGTACATTGAAAATGTAAAGCAGCAGCCGGCATAAGAAACAAAGCTTTTCTAAGACCAGCCAAACACCGAGCCACCGCCACTGGCGGGTTTTGGGGCTCTGGGCAAATAACTGCAGACACTGCGCCTTGGTTTTCCCATCTGGAAAATGGGCTAACACCCCACCCTCCTCACCTACAAGGCTTCTCTGAGGTTAGAACAAAATGATAGAAGTTGAACAGCTCTGAAAACTGTGAGGTTTTTGCCAAATAGTGTGGGTCTCGTGTTCGAGCAGGGAGCTCGGGCCGCCTTGGAGAGAGGCGATGCGGTCCGTCCCTGCAGGGCCATGGTGGTGGGTGGGGCCCACGGTGCTGCGTTTTCAGGTGTATTCTGGTGGCTCCTCCACGGAAGGAGGAAGCCTTGGGAATCACCTCCAGCCACATTCTGGAAGCTGCTTACTTTTCCAGAGGATTAGGGGCACCTGGCAGATTAGGAAACCCATAAGCCTCACACCAGGCCTCAGACCCGTGTCACTACTCTGACCTTCTCCTCAAAACTGTAAAGGTACCAAGACTAAGGAAGTCCCAGGAACTGTCCCAGCCCAGAGGCACCTCAGGAGACATGGTGACTAAATGCAACATGGGGTCCTGGGACAGAAAAAGGACACTCAGGGAAAACTGAGGAAATTGAATAACATACGGGCTTTAGTTAATAATAATGTCTCAATATTGGCTCCTTAACTGTAACAAATGTTCCATACACATGTACGATGTTTAAAACGGGGAATTGTGCGAGGCCTTATGGGAACTCTCTGTAGTATCTTTGTGATTTTTCTGCAAATCTAAAACTGGGTTTGAAAAGTAAAATTAAAGTGTAAAACCAAGCAAATAAATAAAGTCAGCCTTTGTTATCCACAGGGGATGGATTCCTGGGCCAACACAGATACCAAAACCCCAGGATGCCCAAGTTCCTTATATAAAATGGTGTGGTATTTGCATGTAACCTACATATCTTCTCATATACTTTAAGTTAGCTCTAGGTTACTTATAATACCTAACACAATGTAAGTGGTATGTAAATAGTTGTACTATTGCTTAGAGAATAATGATTAAAAAAGTCTGTATGTGTTTGGTACAGACGCATAGGTCTAGCTACACAGTACATGTCAGCAATAGCATAACATTTCCCCCCAATATTTTGTATCCGCTGTTGGTTGAACCCGTGGATGCAGAATCCGCAGACATGGAGGGCCGACTGTACCTCTCAGAATGATTGCCTGGTTTGGATAAAGCATTTGGAATCAGGCAGCTGAGAGCCACCGTGCAGGGGTCGGCGGTTGTCAACAGCCCTGCCCCAGCTGGAGCAGGAAGGGGAGAGAGCAAGGACTGGGACCCAGACACGCAGAGCACTGAGAAGGAACTTTTCAAAAGGGCTTCTGGGGTCTAACTCCGCTGGGGCTGGGCTGCGTGTGCCCCGTGATTTCCGTCAGGGCTGGTCCTGGAACATTCTGGGCCTGTTTAGTCCTGGCGTTAGCGAATCGCATGGTTTTGGGATTGGAGGTTTCTCTGGATAAAGGCTGTTCGAAGGCTGTGTTCTGGCTGCTTAGATTCCATCTTTATCATCTTCGCCGGAGAGAAGTTGTATTGTCTGCCTGAGGACAGTGAAAACCAAAGCAGGGCCCAGTCTGCAGTGTCCTCAGCAAGTCCTGAGGTCATCCCAGCAGTTATGTCCAAGCTTCTGGAATGTTCCGGGGGAATTCAGCTAGTCCTAGTGGAGAGCTCTCCCAGTCTGCATTTCCGAGCTCATGGTGTGAAGGATGCCCCTCATGTGGATCAAGCCTCAGTGAACTGTATGCGGGAATCTCTTTAGACAGCAGCGAGGTGACAAACGATTGCATCCTTGGGGGACAAGACGACCCATGAAACTTCCAAAACTGGCTTTCTCTGTGGTCCTAGGCTACTCAAACAGGATTTAAAGAGAAACACTCAACCTAGTTCTCCACGTCACTGTGGCTGGTCTGCCTCTGTGACATCACGTGAGAACTTTACTGCAAGGAAAACGGTATTTAAATGAAAGGGAAGAAGAGTCTTTGTGTTTTGTATTAAAATATTTTATATTAATCATTCAAACTTAATTTTTATACAACGAATGCATACATCGCCAGGGATCTGTCTTGGGTCGGGGAGGCGGCAGGGTGGGTGCGCCCTGGCGCTGGTACTCGGAGCAGCTATGAGCAGAGCGTGGCAGGCCAGGAGGCGCCGCCCGCTCCCTCTGCCCGTTCCAGGTGGGGCACTGTCACCGACTGGGCTGTCACAGTGGAGAGGTGATGGCAGTGGCGGTGGCCTCTGCCTTTCCAGGCCTCCCTGCAGGGTGAGCCTCATTTCCTCGCCTGGGACGAGCCGCCCAGAGCCTGAGGCCTTCTGACCAGCAAGTGCTTGACCTACAGTGGCTGTCACATGTCACAGGTGAGACGGGACCGCTGTGCGAGCGTGTGTATATACAGACTCGAGGGTTTTCCTGTTGACAGCCCGCCACGGCAGTCCTGCCCGCGCACGTGCTCGGCTGCCTTTGCCTAGGCGGGCATGTCAGCCTTGCTGAGCGCGATGGCCAGCTCCAGGTCCTCCTGCTCCTGCCGCCGCAGCCGCGCCAGCCTCTCCTGCTCCGCCTTCTCACTCTCCCGCTTGGCCCACGCCAGCTGCTGCTCCTCATTGCCAAACTGCAAAGAAAAAACGCAGGTTGGGTTACATGGCTTGGGAGCTGCAGCCACCAGCCAGGGGTGGGGTGCGTAGGGACAGGGGAGGAGACCCAGAAAAGGCCTGTCAAAGGTGGGCAGGGAGCAGGGAACTGCACGCAAGGCTGGGATGCATGGGTGAAAAACCAGAAAAAGCCAAAAGCTTGTATCTTGGTTGGAGCTGGGAAGGGGACACACATGCCCCGGCCCTGACACCCAGGCTGGGAGGGGTCACATGATGGAGAAGCAGGGCCAAGTCTGACCTTAGCCGCCACCTTGGACCTCAGAGAAACTAGCCACCCGCCCCTGCAGGTACGGAAGCAGGCGACACGACGCATCGGTGTGGGGACACTAGTGCCGGCGGTCCCCCGGGACTGAGTCTGGGGGAAGCCCCTGCTCAGCCTCCTCGGGGGCCGGAGGGGCGTCTGTCTCTAAAAGCAGCTGCGGAGCAGAGGTCAGCTGACCCCCAAGGAGCTAGGACGGCGAGCCTGCAAAGCCTGGGCCTCGAAGGCAGGCTGCTGACGCGGTGGCGACAGGCGCTGGGACTGCAGAGTCTGGCTTGAACAGATCTCCGATTTCCAATGTGCAAAAAGGTCTGGAGGCCAAAAGTGCGGCGACAACGGTCTTGAAAGGTGGCCTCTCCTCCCGCCCAGCCGCTCCGGCTGGCCACAACGGTGCCCTGGCATTTACGCTGCCATTCAGTCCACAAGGTTTTCGCTGTTGGTGTCCTTCTCTGAAAGGTTCCATTTTTAAAAAAACGTTTTTTTCAAACAAGGGAGAAAACGGTTACAACTCCAAGGTGGGTGATTTCAAACCATTTGAGGTCCCTTAGCTCTAAGGAAAGAAAAGAAGAGCCAGATCCACCCGCTTTTCTCCCGGGGTGGGTCCCTGGCTCCCCCGAGGTCCCCGGTAACTGCTCCGTCTCCCAGTGAAACACCTCTGGCCCCGTGGGCCCGGACGCGAGAGCAGAGCTGCGGTCTGTTCTGGGCCTTGGCCTCCCTCCGCCAGAATCTCGGTTCTCAGCACTGACTCTGCCAAGCCCTGGGTGACAGAGATCAAGCAGCAGGCCGGCCCTCTGACAGGTGCCCAGGGGAGCAGACAGGCCGAGAATCCCACTCCACACAGCTCCTGTGGAGGCCCTTGCAGGCCCACCAGGGCAGGAAGTGTGACAGGAATGCACAGCTATTTCTCCACACACACACAGAGTCCGCGTGACAGCCCAGGAGGTGGGATTCCAGACAGATGGCAACACCACGGCCTGGGGAGGGGAGGTGGCGGCAGAGCCCAAGTCCTCAGCAGCCTGATTCTCCTGGGGTTGGGAGCGGGTGGGCTGTCAGCTATTGCTGCAGGAAGTCTGGGTACAGGATAGCATCCAGGCCTCCAGGGTCCACCTGTGCTCTGGGTATGGAGGCTGGGGTGAGGGGCTGGGCTGAGACAGGCTGTAGGCCCCAGAGAAGAGCTGAGAGTTACCCTCGGCTCCTCAGGCCAGCGAGGGGAGGTGACTGAATGGGCAGTTTTGAATGATTCGTGGTTCGATGGCCGATGTGGGAGTGAGAGAGGGCCAGAGGGGGGGATCCGGCAGGGGAGTGGGGAAGGGTGATGGAGGGAGCCTAGTCTGAAGCAGAGGTGTCCTGGCGGAAGAGAGGGGGCAGCCCAGGGGCCTCTCCCCACCTGGCCTGGGAGTCAGCATGAAGTACCATTCTGGGAGGAAAAGTCAAGTCTTTGTCTCGTTGAGAAACTGCCCAGAAAAACTGTTCCCCACCCTTGTGTTTCCACCACTGGGCACAGATAAGCCCCAACACTGTGGGGAATTTTCCAACACCTCAACAGGAGAAAAACAAGGAAAAAACAACAACTGCTGGTGGAAATGGCTCCAGGGTGCTGCTGACAGGAGAGGGAGGCGACAGGTGTACTGACAGGGACCCTGCCCCCTTGCCTGCCAGCGGAGGGAGGAGTGGGGCTGACGAGTGATGCCACGGGTTATCCAGACCAAAGCCTTGGTTCCCGTGGTCCCCGCGCACGCAGCCCGCGTGTCTCAGAGCCGTCTGTTCACAGGTCTGCATGTCAAATGAAACGGCTGACAGAACGTTCCAGGTGCCTCCTGAGAGACTGGTTCAAGGCCAGCTCAGGCCCCACCGTGGAGACTCGAGTCAGGCACGTGGTATACGCGCGCCGGAGAAGCACCGTGGACCGTGACGTCCGAGAGAAAACTGGCGGAGGGGTGTCTGTGTCTCCAGTCAGACGACAGTCCTTCCTGGGCCCCGTGGAGACGCCGGAACAAGCCTATTGTCCAGTCCTCTGACCTGGAGGCGTCACGATGGCCAGGTCCGGATGCCAGCGGCAGCGCTGATCTCCGTATCACTCTGGTGCCATCATGGAGCTGAGCCACACAGTGGGCAAGAGGACGCTGCCCCTCCAAGACCCCTTCCCGAGGGTGCCCGCTCGGGAAGAACGCTCTGCGGTTTTGTCATTGATCCCCGACTCCTGAGGGCCAGGTGCCATTCCTCCAGGGGACTGACGTCCGCATCCCGAGACATCTAACGGCACTGCCACCACCGCACCCGAGGGACACTCTAGCTGCCTCCCATTAACTCACTCCACAAGGCAAAGCTTGCCCCCCGACATTTGCTCTGCTCTCAATGCAGACTTCCGGAACAGTGCCGTCTTGCTAACCTATAAACACTACTTCCCAATAAACACATCCGCATTAGACAGAAAGGCTGGTTTTTAAAGAAATCTCGGAGAGGTTTCCCGTGAACAAGCACAAGTCACCCATTGATGGAAACTTGGGACTTGTAAATTGGAGGGTTCTAGGTGGCAGAGCTGGGGTGCCAAAGGGGGACCACATATATGTATGACATTGGTGCCTGAACTCTAACACGAACCAAGCTACCTTTGCAGAGGTAACACCATGTCTTGGCGGCACTCAGAACATCTGATCTGAAAGTCACACTGCCAGTCTGCTGGGCGGTGAAAGACCCCTCAGTTTTTACTGGGGAGCTAAAATACACCAGACAAACCCCTTTGGCCTTCTTTGAGTTAGCACAAATCCAGGTACAGTGTACCCTGAAACCACAGGCTAAGGGGCTGGACCCTCGACGCCATGAACATGCAAAGACATCCTGATTTCCCAGAGGGAGAAGGTTTTAACATTTTTGGACCATGGTATGACCAAGGGGAACAAAATGTCTCTCCTCCACCCATCCCATCAGAGGGGGGCAGAATCGCACCGATTTCCAGATTTCCTCTGGAAAACCTGGGGCATCCGAAGCGGGAAAGGTGATTTTAAACAAAAAACAGAGCTGCAAACGCCACTGGGCAGAATCAGATTCCCCACCTGGAAACGAGGGTGATTAAATACTGGGAGTGTCTTAATATCAAAGTTAACATGTTAAACGTGTTCTGGAATGACCAGAAGTGTGGAGCCAAATGATAATTTAAAACCTTGGGTATTTTTTTTTTAATGTTTTCCAAAACCTAGCCATCGGGAGGGTGCAGGGTCCACAGGAAACAGAGTTATGCGTTTCAGAAAGAGAACAGTCATTTCTTCAAATTGCCATTCAAATCCACTTACCCCTCTGCCCTGCCCAAAACAGAGTACCTGAGTCCTGCATGAATGGCTCTATTTTTTTCATCAGCATTTAATATTTTTTCCACTGAAAAACAAACGTGGTCCTATTCAAAAAACCGTAGATAAAGCAGGTTTTGTTTCTGGCTTTTATTAACAATGTCTCCATTTGTACACATCCACAGTGTGCACAGGCTGTCAACAAAACTGAGCTAACTGCAGCTGTAAAATATTCACAGGTCGCCAAGAGCCAGGAACATAGCAGCGTATTGGGCAGCTTCAATAAGCCACAGGATAGCTGGGCACGAGGTGGGTCTGGAATGAATCGGGCGTTCACAGGGCACGGATATGGACAGCAGAGGTTGTTTTAAGAAGGATATTCTAGGAGTCAAGCATCTATAAATAATGCACGTCACACCTAACCAGAAAACAAGATACTTGGCAAATCTGAACGAAGAAAACTTAAAAAAAGCAAGAAAAGAAAACGTGGGTGCCCGACAGACAGTAAAACCAATTCTGGGAAGACGAACTCTGAATCTGAGAACAAGATCTTTGGATACTGATGACGGTGCCAAAAACACCAAAAGTGACAGCATTTATAATCTGGAATCTTTTTCATACCAAGAAATAGCCAGACTTCTGAAAAGGCACTTGAATTTGCTTAAATAGCTTTTGGAGGGCTTGGGGTTGGGGTGTTTGTTTGTTTTTTTGGCAAAGGGCTTCAGAGTGGTTGTTCTAGGCTGTATTTCTCTTTTCACCAGAGCTGGTAACTGAAATAAAAGTTTTAAAAAAACCAAACTGCTCTTCCTTCATGCACCCGCCTGGGTCCTTCACTTCGTACTTGCTGCACAAAATGCGCTGAGGAGGGACAGTTAGAATTCTTGCACAGAGACCCTTTGGGGACAGCGAGATCCTAATGTAACTTTTGCAATCTTGCTTTAACATCTCGGCTTCCAAAAGTCAATGAACACAACAGCCTCCGGGCGAGAGAAACAATACAGAGGGTCAACCGGGACAAGGAAAGGGAAAGAGAGACCCATGGGGCGGCCACCAGCTTGGGCCACCATGCTGGAAGGACATGTGCCCTCATCACAGAGTATCCAAACCATAGCACTTTTTTTATTGAGAAACATTTTTTTCTTACAGAAAGCAGCAGTACAGAATAAATAACACAGTTGATGGCATGAGGTACCAGGAAACGTAAGCCAAAAAAAAAAAAATAGCCCCAAAGAAGCTGCAAGCGGAGGGGTGGGAGTGGAACGGAGGCGAAGAACTCAACTTACAGAGGTGAAGTCTGCAAAGCCCAGGGAAGAGGCTTTAGAAGGCTTAGCTGAAGAGGAGGGAGCAAATGGATCTTTTCCACTAAACGGGTCCCCAAACCCCCTTTTATTTTGGAACGGGTCACTGCTGTCAGCCCCGAGCGGCTGGAATGGGTCGGGGGAGTCGGGAAAGTCTGCAGAACCGAGCTGGCTTACAGGTGTACTTTTACCTGGAAAGTTCAAGAGACAGAAAAAAAAAAAAAAAGAAGAGAAAAAAGAAAGACAAGTTACTAACCACAGACAGAACAGAGTCCATGAAATGGGGTTGCTGTGGGATGAACTGTGCCCACCCCTGTCCCACCAACTCATGTTGAGATCCTCAATCCCAGGACCTCAGAATGTGACTGTATTTGAAGAGGCCTGGAAAGAGTAAGTAAAAATGAGGTCATTACATAGGCCCTAAGCTGAATGGTGTCCTTATAAGAAGAGATCAGGAAGACACAGGGGTAGACCTGTGAGGACACAGGGAGGAGGCAGAGCCGAGAGAAGCCTCAGGAGAAACCAATCCTGCTGACACCTTGACGTCACACTTCCAGCCTCCAGAACTGAGAACAATAGATGTCTATGGTGTAAGCTGCCTGGTCATGGCAGCCCCAGCAGACGCATACGGGGCAAGGAGGTCTGCCCGGTGACTGAGCAGCAGCTGAGAGCGGGACCTGCCCACAGTGGTCCGCCTGCCTTTTAAGTCACAGTTTAATGGCACGCCAATGCCAATAAGCTGTGCCATTGTTCACGGTCTTCTATGCCGTCATCCAGGACAACGAGCTGGCCACTGGGATGGAGAATGGAAAGCCTGCAAGGCTAAAAGTATATTGGTTACAGCTTTTTACAAGAAAACTGCATCCCCTCACATGGAGAGGATGTTTAGCTCTGATGCCTGGCAGGCAGTAAGCAAGCTGTATGTGAGACTGAGGGATGCTACAGGCCCCCGGAAGTCAGAGCCAGGCCAGCTGGGTACCCTTTGAACCCCAAAAGGAAACGGAGGACTCCCAACTGCAGCTCTGCTCTGCCAGAGATGCTCAGATAAGGGTGGGTACCTCCCCCAGTGTCTGCAATTTCCTGTCCAGCTCCTGTCTCGTCTCCTCCAGTCCTCTGCACCTCTTCCCACTGAGAGTAGCGCCATGTGTGAGGGTGGCAGGGGAAGCGTCCGGGGGAGGACATGCAGCAGGTCCTCTTTGGGGTGGCTGGCTCAAAGCCCTGAAGAGTTGCCTTGGGGACAGCCCAGGCGGTGGCACCATCCGAGGCTTGATCACAGACACACGTCCTCACACGGAGCACACTGGGAGGGTGTGTGTGTAGGTGTCCTGGAGCACCTGTAGCTACTTCTGGGCCGAGGGAGACCGGCTCTCATGTGTACACGGTGCCAGTGTAAGGACACCACACCCATGGGCAAGGGTGCCCTGGGAGACAGCGTCCAGAGGGATGGAGACACAGGGAACAAATGCTGACCTCCTGGCCTGGCTACCCCTGGTCCCCTTTCCACAGCCATTTCCACTGCCCTGACTGCCCTGCACTGCCCAGGCCGGCTAGTCTCTCACACCTCCACCTCCCCTGGCACCTCCCTTGGCCACTCCTCCCCTGCAGCCACCCCCACTGCCTTGACCACCTCCCATGGCACCGACTTCTGTCCTGGTCTAGCCTCCAGCACACCTGAGGGCCCCCGAGGGTCAGCTCCATGTGGGTGGTGGAGCTCAGCACACTATAGATGCCAACAAAACCCACCCTATCCCTGGTTCCAGCCAGGGATACATGGGAGCCAGGGACTCAAGGCCTTTGGTGGAACCACTCTGAGAAGCTAGAAGGGACTAAAGGACCTCTAGCTTCCCTCCTCTGCAAGAAAGAGCAATATTCACTGGTACACTCTTGGGCTAATTTTTTTTACCAGAAACTAAAATGATGATGGACTAAACAGCAGAATTCTAACCCAGGAGAGGGCAAGAGCTGCTGGAGGTGGGCTGAGAGCCCCAGGGAAGGGCACAGACTCTGTTCCCGGCAGCAGGTCCGGGGCAGCTGCCTGACTTTTGGGGCATTCCTTGCAAGGTCTGGCTGGTCACAAAGAACAGATGCCTAAGCAGGATAAAGAGGTCAAGCCGATCCCAGCCAGGGGTCCGAGTGTTCAAGTACATCGCCCGCTACTGTGTTTTTCTTCTTTTTAATTAAGAACTTCCTCCCTTGGTTTGTTTTTTTGTTGTAGATTTTTTTAATTGCTTTTGGGGGTGTGGTAAGAATCCAGCCTGCTGGGATTTGAAGCTGAGGTTTCTGACAAGCAGAGATGAAGGGGAGATGAAAAGCATCGTTCACATCAAGAATTGCTCACGCCTGGTTTGGCTGGTGCCGAAACCGTTGTTATTTAGAAATCATGACTGTGTTCATATGAAACCAGGGCACATCAACTGCTCTTGTTTTCAGAGGGGGGGAAAACACAACGGTTTTTTCTCGGTCATCTGTTTTTGTGTTTCAGCACAGGCTGAATTATTATTGTGCATGACACTTGCAAAGTGGGGGGTGATGCCAGTTCGGCTAACACTCTGCTTGTGACCAGAGGCTTTCTGAGGAGGACACATGCCAGGACAGCCCTGAACCCAAACTTCTCTCTCTGTATCCCCACTTATTTTTAGCAGCTACACTTTTAAAACATTCTGGGTCTAGTTCCTGCTTTTACATAACCACTTCTGCTAATTCCTTAATCGTTTTCCGATTTTCTGAGGTGTAGCTTATCTCAAACGGGACAGAATAACTTTAATTTGCTTCCGTGGCCCTGAGCACGCATTGCACAGTTTTATGCCTTTTCATAGTTCCAAGCACCACGAGAAAGGATCATGACTGATGCAGGTTTCAGAGAAGAAACAAAAAATCTTTCAAAAATTGGCACAAAAGCTAGCCAGGATGATGCCTGGCACGCACGGTTTGGTGTCATCTTCCTAGATTTCTGCCCAGGGAACCACCGGCCCCCGAGTGTAGCAGAAGGCGATGACCAAAGTCAAACGAAATAGAGACCCCTGGGGGCTGCAGGCTGCTGACTTGGCACCCACAGCGATTCTCCAACACTCAGAGTAGTTTTCATGAACAAGAGGAGAAGGACGCAAGATTGAAGAGAAGGCAAAATAGGGCTTATTTCAAACCGCAGCAGTTTCAACAGTTACCCAAGCGGTGCACCGAAACCGCACACAGGACTGCCTTTAGCAAAAACAATATGAACCCGATGGTTTACCACAGTGTGTGCTGTTAAAAAAAAAACTCAGTGGCCGGCTCCACCCTGGTAGAAATGTCTTCAATGCTCCTATTTCTTAACTTCTCGAGACCTGAGAGCCCCCAGGGCCGGGATCAGCCAAGTAGCCAGGATCAGGGCAGTGACTCCAGAACGAGTTATTGGCAGCGAAGCTCCCAGTTCTGCTTTCCCAACATGCTTTTCAGGAAACCCTGGCCGGGAAGGGTCCCTGAGAGACAGTGCATGGAAAAACAACAGAACACAAACACACACTCTGCTCTGTCCCCCAAACTTCAAAACACATGAACACTGAGAAGTCTGAACGAAGACGGATTCTCTTGTTCAAAATTCTTAGGAGGAGAATGATAGGTTTTGGACGATTTAGGATCTCAACATATCTGATTAATAAAATATCAAAAATACACAAGTGTGACTGTATTCATTCCAACCTTTCCAACCAGACACTTGCTGAATTCTATTTATAAAATTCAGGGCTATAGTTGGAAAATGCAATTCTGCAGATGAGAGATAAATACAAAAACAACAGAACAAAATAAAAAAATAAAAAACAAAGGTTTGTGGTCAGGACAGCTACCCCACCTCAGCTATTACCCTACACAACACAGGACGTTCTCACAACTGCCATTTATCCCAACATGGGACGTCCACACAACTATCACTCACACTACACAACATGGGACAGCACACAACTGTCACTCATCCTACACAACCTGGGACTTCCATCCTACAGGGGATCCTCACACAACCGTCACTCATCCTACACAACCTGGGACTTCCATCCTACAGGGGATCCTCACACAACTGTCACTCATCCTACACAACCTGGGACTTCCATCCTACAGGGGATCCTCACACAACTGTCACTCATCCTACACAACCTGGGACTTCCATCCTACGGGGGATCCTCACACAACTGTCACTCATCCTACACAACCTGGGACTTCCATCCTACAGGGGATCCTCACACAACTGTCACTCATCCTACACAACCTGGGACTTCCATCCTACGGGGGATCCTCACACAACTGTCACTCATCCTACACAACATGGGACGCCCACACAACCACCAGGCTTCTTAGAGTCACACCACAAGGAGAGCTGTGGCTGGGGAGGGGGCTCTCCTCATTCCTGTGGCTTCTCCCTTCCCACCCCCACATACCAGCAAAACAGAGTTGAATTGGGGGTTGTGGGGAGAAAGAGCGTACCAGGCTGTTCAGAGCACGACGCTTCAAGTTCAAAATCGCTTGGGAACTTTACTGAAAAAGATTGCTTTTCACCAACACGGATCCATGTTTGCTCTGGCTCCCACTATGGTGGGCCGTGGAAGGCCAGGATGCACAGGACCATCTCGCTGGCCTGCAGGTGAGGAGACCTGCAGAAACAGCCCTGCGCTCACTGCTGCACATGCAAGGAGAAGGCGAGCGGCAGATCAAAGCTGTGCCAAGTAGCAGAGCCCCGCGATAAAATCTGAGGTCCCACCATCACAGCATTGAGATTTTCCACTAAAAATATTTACCGAATTTTAAGAAAATCGCTTAATGCATTGAAGGGAACAGGATGAGGTTTGGTTCTGAATTGTTGAGAAAAGCTGAACAAATATTTACTATTATCCACTGGGCTCCCTACAACTGGTGTGTTTCCATCCTCTGGGAGGGGTCTGGGAGGTCAGAGGTCATGGAAATCTCACAGGGTGAGGAGCCCAGTGGACATGGGGTCAACCGGAATCAGAAAGGAAACAAAGGGGGGAAAGCAGCCATGCACTTTGGGTCCTCCAAAGATAAATACCTCTTGGAATGAGAAATACAAGTTTCAAGGTTTCCACGAAAGGCTACTATGACATTTATAAGAAACCTGGTGGAGGAAAAATCAGATCTACAGCCAAAATGGGGGGAGGGGGAGCTACATGATTCACAAATGAGTCCCACTTCAGTCATCACGGCAAAAAGAATACAGACTGCAGGTCTCACAGTTCTGCTTTTTGAAAAATCACATTGTTCTTTGATTTGCACCTTCGACACACTCTGCCGGTCTGCTCACACCCTCCAGGGGCTCAGGTGCCTTGGGGACCTGGGGAGACGCTGGCTACACAGCAGCCAGGTGGCGGGCCCTGGGTCTGCACCACAGGGGCCACAGCCTTTGTTCCTCCCTACAGAGGAACGCTGATGCTGCCAGAATGCCACTTCTGCTCTGGCAGAGAGGTGCCATGCCCACATATAAGAAAATCACCAGGGTGCCACGCTGTGGGTCTGGAAGCGGTTAGAAGGCATGTGTGCATTGGAGGGCCACGTGCAGAGCCCATCAAGAACATTCTCCTGCTGTGGGGGCAGCTCAGGAGTCAGGAGAGCCTGCAGCAGAATGGGGGACCCTCATGCTCATTCTTTTTATGACCATCTGCCCCCAATCAATCATATATGTGCTGCTTTTCAGTTGACAATGGTGGGGGGGGAAGGGGGGGCGTTGACTCAGTGCTTTGAATGTGAGAAAAACAAGAAATGAACAACCATGTTCACCCCATCAAAAAAAAGGGCAGCACAGGAAGCATCTTCCTGGCCCCCCTCACCTTGCTGTAGGTGGAACCAAAAACCCAAGGGCTGGTGGCAGGTACACAGGTCCCAGGGTGGTTGGGGAGGGCACCAGGGGCAAGGCAGTGTCTCCTGTCTGTTCATACCCATGCTCAGATACAGGATGGGAGTTCAGGCTCTCTGCACCCAACCACACGACCCTCCAGGACCCCAGCTGGCTGAGCCAGCTGAGCCCTGATTTCTGTGCTTCAAGACCCCAAGCCTGGGCATTTGCACCGCACTGAACAACAGGTGACAACTGTGTCACTTGACTCCCACTCAATCCGCCCTTCTGGGTGCAGGAGGGTGGGTGTGCGCTAAGATAGGCAAATGCTTCTATTTTCGAACTCAGCCGACTTTGCAGAACAGAAATTCACCCAAAGACAACCCATCTCCAGGCATTTTACTTGTAAGAGGCCGAGAGGAAAGCACTTTCCCTCTGCAAGCAGGGTCCTGCCAGCTCTCGAGCACTCCTTCTCGGGGGCACGCCCAGCCTGGCACAGACCCTGCCCGTGTGCAGGAAACGTGGCTCCGAGGGCTGGCCGGCAGTGCCGAAATTTTCCAGGCTTCTCGTGCTGACGGTGAACCGCTTGTCCCATTCTAGAACTTCGTATGTACCCACTGATTATCTCTTTGAAATCATCGTGGGAACGGAATTAAAGTAGTTAAGTTCAAGGCTGAGGTGCTAACCGCATGGCTCAACTGGAGAAGCCATTTTAAAAGTGGATCTTGTGTGATAAACATGAGGTCGGGACCCACATGGGTGAAGGACGACCACCATGGTTTTGCCCCAGCCTGGCCTCTCAGAACACAGGGAGAGCCAAGCACACACCTGCCAACCCAAGGATAGGCGGCAACCAGAAAACTGCGCAAAAGAACGAACCTGAAGCCAGTCAACCTGTGTGGAATCCACACACAGTTTGTAGAAGGGACTCAGGTTCTAGGGGGAAATGATTTTTCCTTTTTTTTTTGAGAATCTTTTGAATCGCACAGGATGCAGGTTAAATGGTATCTCGTTTGTCTGTGGTCATCAGAAGGATTATGGGAAGGGAAAAAGGGGCAAAAAGACCTCATAAGTGTGTGCACTGGCTTTTTGGGGGGGGTGAAAAGGTCATTAGCAGTAATAAAAGGACAATTAAATTGTGGAGAGGTTAAAGGTGACTGGCTGGTTAGTGGTGAAGGCACACTAGCTGGTGTTACCCGGGCTCTGCAGGAACCGCAAAGCAGGGCTGCACTTGCAGGAAGTGGCAAGGGTGGGGCCGGGCACAGCGTCCCACTATCTGTCGCCGTGGGGCGGGAGGCCCAATCACTGACACCCACACAGCCATTTCCTGCACTTGAAAAAAATCTGTTTCTCCCTTTGCAAATCAACAACTTTTACCTAGAAACTCTTCAGCGGTGAGTTCTGACTGATCTCGATCTCTGCCCGTTGCAGAAAATACACACTGTTTACCTGGGGAGGTGTGTGCACGAACTCCAACTGACAGGTTTCGAAGGGTCTGATTTGCATCTGCCTGGAAGAAACCAATTTTCTTGACCCCAAACAGACACCTGCTGGTTACCCAATACTATAATAGACCTTTCTAGAAAAGACCTCCAGGCACAGAGAATTCAGTGCTGAAGCCCTGTTCCCCAGAGGGTGACATGATGGTCCCCAAGGACGCCCTTCCTGGCTGGGGTCAAGAGAGAATTGAGGATCTGGGGTTGAGAGCAGATGGCCAGCCATGGGCTGCTCTAGTCACATGGGTATGACACCAGAACTTTCCCAGGGAACCTCCCAGGTGGAGCTCCCACACCGTGACAGCACAGGCTGACATTTAAATACGTGTATTTATTGCATGTCAATGAAACCCCGATCAGGCTAAAAATAAAGAAATAAAAAAAAATTACCCCAGAATGTGAACACTGCAGCTTCCAGTGCATGCAAAACACCATGCGTGACTAAGGCCCAAATGTGCATTTGGTCCCATTTGAGCGGCAATGCCAAGCTTTGCCAGAGAGGCCCCTGGAGCCTCTTTGCAGTTCAGCTAACCAAGCTCTGGCTTCACTCAATTGCAGATTTCTCATAAAATGCAGCCTGGTGAGAGAAAGGGTCCCTGATAAACCCTGTGAGCACACAGCCCATCCCATCTTTTCCAGGGAAAGGAGCCTGCAGAAGGGGGATCCTGTGTCCTGGTCTCATACCCGGGTGGTTGGGTGATGCATGTCACACACATCATATTATGGACCATTGCCTTGTGCAGGCACTCTACCCACATGGGCACTTGCTAGGCCAGAGTTGGTCCTGTGCTCAGACAGGAAAACTAAGGCTCAGCAAGGCTAAGGTGCTTGCCCGAAGCCCCTCAGGGAGATGAGCAGCAGGGGCAGCAGGGCCAGTACGTGAGCCCAGGCCCTCACTCCAACATCTGTCCAGAAACCAGTCTGACCCAGCAGGCTCCCTGAGTCCTAGCAGCACAGACAGCTCAGCAGCCAAGGGAAACAGCATCGGAGTCACCTGCCCTGGCTTCACACGTGACAACTCCAGGCACAGAGACCTGACGGGTTCTAGAAACCTCGGGGCCCTGGGACAAACAAGCCCCGGGTAGGAAAGTGGCAACCTCAGACCCTTGTCATGTGCAGGGCAGCAAGATTTTGGAAAAGCATGTTCCGTCACCTTGGTTTCTGTGAGTGCAGGAATGACATTGCGTGTTGGGTGTGTAAGAAAACCACTATGACTGGGCAGTCTAGATTGTCCACTATGCTGTGTCCAAGGATCACAGCTCAACCAGCAGGACCCCAGGACCACAGGGACCCGGGAGGAGGGTGCCCACCTTACCTCCTCCCCACTGAGCCACGCTGGGAGCGCGCCTCCACCACATGCCAGGCCCTTGACACACAGCGCTCCCAGGTGAAGGTGGCCACCTCCTCATGCTGGCTATGTGGCCTCTCCAAGCAGGAAAAGGCCAGGTCAAGACAAGAGCAAAAAACACATTCTTTTCAACCTGTTCGATTATATATTTTCTTAAAAACAAAACAAAACCAACCCAACACTCTTGGCTGCCTCCCATCCTAAGCAGCCAAGAGAACAAGAGGTGTGCTGGGTGTTTTCATAATGAATGCTCGGAGCAGGGCTTCCCCCTTCACTCATCAGCTGACCTGTCCTGCTAATAACCAGGTAGCTCCCAGGCTGCTCCCGGTTTATGCGCCCTGCTCCATGCAGTGTGGACAGGAAGAAGGGAGGGCACTGTGCACAGTTGGGCCTTAACTCCCTCGACTAGAGAAGCAGCATGGGGCAGACACCTTCCTCTGCATCCCCAAATGGCCAGATGCTTGCCACCAAATGCAACTCGTGAAAAAGTCAACTGCTGGTCCATGTCGAGTATGAATGCATCACACAGCTTGCAGATTCCATGGCTAGTGTTAGAGGTTAGTATGAAATCACAGCAAAACGCCACTGGAAGAGCTCAAATGACAACCACCACACAATGTGTACCTACCACCCAGTAGCGTATACAGTGGACAGCTTTTCTGTTCAGCCATCGCTTCTAAGTAAGAGAATCAGACGAGACATTTAGGCGTCTACAAGGATACATTGTGGCTGGTCACAGATTAAATATTGCACATGTGTTGACAGTTTTCCAGAGCATTCCTAACCTCATGGTATGGTTCTCATTACAGCTGTTTTTGGAGGTGGGAGGCCTGGGTGGGGGTAGGTCACTGAATTCAGGGTTGGTCCTGCTGCCACCTCAATGTGTCCTCTCTCATTTCCCTTTCCTCTTATGGTAAATAAATGGCATCACAATGCCTGTCCTGACTTGCTTGCGCGTCTTCCTAGGTCTGGAGAAGCAACAGTGCTTCCTAAAGGTCTGTTGATGCGAACCGGGTATCTGGGGCACCTTACAGGCCAAGGTAGAGCACGGATGTGACAGCCCAAAGCCATGAACAAAGGCAGCTTAAGACCCCATGATACAGGCCCAAACCTCCCAAGCTGTGGACAGCTCTCTAAAGAGCCCGAGCTCTGAAACCGGCTCCGAGGAAGTCACTGAAAAGAAAAAGAAGCCAAAATGGGGTGGGTAGGCTCGAAGACAGAAACCTGAAGGAGGGGACAGTGAGGGCAAGTTCAAAGCAGAGCTAGCACTGATACAGGGAAGAGGGGGAGGCTGGGAGAAAGTCTCCAAGAATCCTTGAGAATGAAGCTCTGCTCTTTCCAGCAGCTGAGGGGAGCAGCTCCTCCTCGAGGCCCAACTGCTGCACTGCCCTGTGGGTGTGAGCACATGCATTTACACAAGAGCGTTGCACCTCTGCAGTATGAATGCAGGTGCATACAAGCACTGTGAGAAGGTATGTGCGCGAGGATGGATGCATTTGAATATGTGCACGTGTGAATGCAGTATGTGAACATATGCACACACATGTACAAGTGTGTGTCTGCGCACGTGTGTGTGTGTGTGTGTGTGTGTGTGTGCACTCTAACTCCCATCTTTCTGGTGGGATGAGAAGACTCAATGCTATTCCATCAGGAGACCACCAAGGGTCCCCTAAGAGCCACTGCCTCTAAGGTACACGCAGCCTCTCATAGATGGAAGGGAATTCCTCTGTTGTTTTTGCTTTTCTCTCCGTTTTATGGTAAATACTTTGATGTGTGGCTGATACAAGTGATCTCTTTATGCATCTGTTTCTGCTCACAGCTCACAGAAAGTCTGTTATAAATCCATCCAGCCCATGGCCAGACTTTCTCTCATGTCTCATCTGCAGGAGGGCAAATGGCTCTGCACACGGGGCGCCCATCCTCCTGAGAAAGCCCTGGCCCTGGTGCCAGAAGGGGCGTGGCAGCATTTTTAAATAACTCGTCCTGTTTGTCTCTACTGTGTATCTCATGTAGGAAGACTGGCCTTCCTTGGACCAATGACCATTTCTAACTACAGACTCAGGGGCCTGCAATGATGACACAAAGTGGAGCCCTTGGGGCAGACTGAAGAGCACTAAGTCTAGAGACTATGGGTGAGAGTCTGCCTGGAGACCAGAGAATGAAAGACACGTGCTGGCCAGGGTGCCAAGAACATAGGAGGTGGGATGGGTAAAGGAAATGGGAAATGGCAGTGAGTCCCTCTACTGCTTTCGAGTCTGGTACCTGGCCTGTGGGCCTATCACTATCACATAAACACTCCACGCATGACTTAAAAGGCCCCAGAATTCTCAGAGGGCACCAGGGCCAAGGCTGAGTGAAACTGCAGCGCCAGCCACAGCCAGGCAAGGTGGGGTCTGCAGGAAACCCCTTGCTGGGAGCCATCTACTGAGATGCGGGTGGCATGGGGGAGCATCCTGCCTCCTTTCATGTCAAACTCAGCCAAGGAAGACTCCCACCCCTAACACCCCACCCCTGCCCTTAACCAGTGTGGAGATACTGGATCGAGGGGGCAGACTCAGCTGCTGTCCCCACCCCTGGGCCACCCTGAGCCAACCTGAGAAAAGCTTGGTGGGTTGGGGAGGCCAAAGAGACTGCAAAGCCCTGGCCACATGTCAGCCAGGGGCTGTGTGGCACCTGTCCTTGCACCGAGGAGGGCCCTAAGCCCTGGGCCTTTGGGAGACCATCTGGGCCTGGAAGGGACTCTGGCCCACAGGACAGGGCGGGAGAGTGCTCCAGGCACACACCATAAGTGGACAGAGGCAACTGGGCAGAGGGGAGACCCTCTTGTTCCCCGTGCAGACTTCACAGCAAAGCTCTATTCTGGGCTGGTGAACGAAGGGGCCCTCAGCCCCACACTGTCCTGTGACAGTGAGTGGGTGGGTGGGCGGGCGGCGGTGAGAGAAGAAAGTGTACTGACCGCTGGGCGGTTTAGGCCGTGGAGGAGCAGGTTTCTTCGGAGGCAGAGCGGGAGTGTCCTGTTTACTTTTAAAGGGGTCATCGGAGAATCCTGCCCCTCCAAAGGACGAGGTGAAAGGACCAGAAGGTGGGGGCTGTAAGAGAGGACACGAAAGAGAGGCAAAAATAACTGTTAACATGGAGCAGCGGACGTTCACCAAGTCAGCACTCGAGTACCGAGAGCCTGGTGAGGCCCCACCCTCTGGGCTGTGAAACTCGGTCCCCACTCGGACCTTGGATCTCTCACAAGCCCCCACTTTCCTCCACCCTCAGTAGACAGGGTCCCCTGGTCTGTGAGGGAGAAGCCAGAAAGATCACAGAGTAGGTGAGAGCAACCCATATCTTAATGGGCTTGTGTCACGGGAGGGTTCTCCCTGCCACACACACGTTTCCTGACTCCAGGGTTCCCTGGGCCTCCTGCTCATGCTTAAGATGTGCCCCACTTTCACCCTCTTCATTCAGTGACAGGCAGCTCCAGACAAGGGTCAGAGCCATACCAGACCCTCACTGTGCCCCCAGGGGCCATTGCCCACCTAGTGACTCAGGTCAGAGCCCACCCTCAAATACCTGGCCCATCACCACCTGTTGGCAGGGCCAAGACTGCCGCAGGGGGAGGGGAGGCTCTTAGCACCTCTGGCCCAGACCCTCCATCAGCAGCAAACCACCCCATCGTCTCAAACCCAAACAGGAGCCCATTTCCTCACAAAAGACATATACATAGAAGATGGGTGGGTGGGTGGGTGAGTGGGAAGATGGTAGGTAGAGATGACAGGTGGGTAGGAAGTCGGTGGAGATAGGTGGGTGTAAATCAAGATGACAGGTAGGTAAGTAGATAGTAGGTAGAACTGACAGATATGTGGGTTGGTAGGTAGAGATGACAAGCAGGTTGGTAGGAGATAGTAGTTAGGGATGACAGGTAGTGGGTAGGTAGGTAGGTGGTAGGGAGAGATGACAGATAGGTAGTTGAGTAGAGACAGCAGGTAGATGGGTAGGCAGGTGGCACTGCATAGGTAACCTCCAAGCACTCTTCATCACACCCCCACAGCCTAATTCTTTGGCGTCATCCCTGCTGACTACCCTCCATCCCCTTCTAAGACTCCCTGGTACCTGTAGCCCCTTGGGCCCCCATTTCCGGTCCCCTGTGCATAGAGGGTCTCCAGCTACGGAGCCCTGTCTACCAGAGCCCCTCTACTTCCTCGGAGACTGACTAGACCTCACTGTCGCCCCCAGAGCTCTCTCCGACACCCCTTCCTGCCAGCGGTTCCTGCAGGTTCCCATAGGACTCGCATGACCACACCAGGCTAACAGGTTCCCAGCCCCATCCCACCTAACTGGGTGGCCTGGGGGCAGGCTCGAGTTCTCTCTCCTCCAGGTCTGCTGAGAGCAAGTGCAGGTGATGGGGCAGATGCCTGCTGGCCAAGCCTATAGCAGCAGTGACTATCTACGTGCACCCTGACCTAGAGCACCAGCACAGCATCGGGCACAACACACGTCCACTGACAACTGGATGAGCCGCAGACAGGCCAGCTCATCTCACACGACGGGCATCCCAAAGGGAGAAAATCACTTTCTACGGGTGTGGAGGACCACTTTTACTGAAACAGAAAATAACTAGAAAAAAAGAACAAGAAGATACATAGCTACCTTTTCGCTTTCCACAGTTTCAGATACCCCTGGTCAACTGCAGTCTGAAAATATTAAATGAAAATTTCCAGAAATAAACAATTCTTAAGTTTTAAATTGTGCACGTTTCTGAGTAGCATGAATCATCCCTTTGTCTAGTATCTCCATGCTATAAACACTTCCTGCCCATTTAGTCACGTAGTAGCCGTCTCAGTGATCAGATCAATTGTCACTGTATTGTAGTGTTTATGCTCAAGTCAATTTTATTTTACTTAATAATGTCCCCAAAGCACAACAGTAGTGATGCTGGCAATTCAGGTATGACAAAAAGAAGCCATAAAGTGCTTCCTTTAAGTGAAGCGGGGGGGGAGCGGGGGGGGAAACACACAACAAGGGGCACTTTTAATTCTTCCCCCAGTGGAACAGGCCTAGGGACAGAAAACAAAGCAGGAACACATTGGTGGGACTTTCTCAGATAAGCTGGAACCAACCACCACTGGAGAAGTAGGGAGAAGGGCCTGCCCTTCTCTGTGCTGTGCACTGCTCCTCCCCTCCAGGCTCCAAACACAGGGACAGGAACTCAGCTTCCTCTGTCTCCGGTATCTAGTCATAAACATTAGTCTCAGGTTGGGGACAGATGGCTAGCCCACAGGGAAGAGGGGCCCAGAAGGCTTCTCCACACTCAACTGACTCCATCGGACATGCTGGTTCCTACCCCAGCACTCTGATGCGGCCTGCGTAGGAGATGCTGACTCTGCCATCACTTCCAATTAAGTAATTAATTAATTAGTTTATTTATTTATGGATTTCAGAGAGGGAGAGATAGAAACATCGATGAGAGAAAACCATTGATCAGCTGCCTCCTGCACGCCCCCTACTGGGGATGGAGCTGGCAATACAGGCATGTGCCATTGACCGGAATCGAACCCAGGACCCTTCAGTCCACAGGCCAATGCTCTATCCACTGACCCAAATCAGCCAGGGCCCATCACTTCCATTTTATACACAGGGAAACGGAGGCACAGAGAGAAGACAGAGCCTGCCAGTCAGACAGCACCTCAGAGGAGTCAGAGTGGAACCCAGGACATTTGCCTCCTGGGCCAGGGCTTCTGAGCCCTTCCCTAGGCTCTAGCATCCTGTCCCCTCATAACAGGTCTCAGGCCGCATTCTGGGCAGAGCACCACTGTCCTCAGGCCTCTGAAGGAGATACACGTGGATCAGACAAGAACAGAGCAGGCCAAGGGGTCAGTGGGTAGGAGAAGTCCCCAAGGAAGATGGGGATCTGCAATGCCGCCCTCCCCAGCCCACCCCCAGACTCACTTCTCTGCCAAGACCACCCTAGCTCCAAGTGAGTGGGGCTGCCAGGGCTGTGGCAGGGCAGAGAGGTGCCTTCTCCACAGCTGCTGCTCCCCTCTCCCAGGCTCTATGGTCACTATTCTTTTAGATCAGCGGTTCTCAACCTGTGGGTCGTGACCCCTTCGAGGGTCAAATGACCCTTTCACAGGGGTCGCCTAAGACCATCGGAAAACACATATATAATTACATATTGTTTTTGTGATTAATCACTATGCTTTAATTATGTTCCATTTGTAACAATGAAAATACATCCTGCCTATCAGATATTTACATTACAATTCATAACAGTAGCAAAATTATAGTTATGAAGTAGCAACGAAAATAATTTTATGGTTGGGGGTCACCACGACATGAGGAACTGTATTAAAGGGTCGCGGCATTAAGAAGGTTGAGAACCACTGTTTTAGATACAAGTTACGGAGTCTCTTAGCAAAATCTGTGGCTCAAGTTTCCAGAACAGGCTGCAGAGCATGGTGGTCAGGGATGGGGTCTGGAAGCCCAGCCTTGCCACCTATTAACAGCCTCAGTGCCTCAGTCACTGCCTCTGTGAAGCTGACAATAATGACAGGCCCCAGCTCATAGGCTAAGGCCAAAACACAGGGTCACGTGTAAATTGTTCCAAATGGCTCTGGGCAAAGTTAGCACAAAGACAGTGTGGTTATTACCATGACAAAGATGTGGATGTGATTGGAATTCTTTTAGATGTCACAAGAATCTGTAAACACCTCTCAGCTCCCCACACTTTTGTCTGCTGCTGCCTGTCATTTGCAGAGTCTTTCCGGGGGCAGCAGCATGAGAACTGTGGTAGTTCTCTGACCTGAAGCTTAGCTTTAAAATGGGTGATTTAGTCCGGCAGGTGTGGCTCAGTGCTTGAGTGTCATCCAGGAACCAAGAAGTCACAGTTCAACTCCTGATCAGGGCACATTCCCAGGGTTGCGGGCTCCATCCCAGAAGACATTTCTCTCTCATCGATGTTTCTCTCTCTATTCCTTTCCCCTCTCTTTAAAAATCAATTTAAAAAATAAAATTAAATAAAATGGATGATTTAGGGCAGGGGTCCTCAAACTTTTTAAACAGGGGGCCAGTTCACTCTCCCTCAGACCGTTGGAGGGCCGGACTATAGTTTAAAAAAAAACTATGAACAAATTCCTATGCACACTGCACATATCTTATTTTGAAGGAAAAAAACAAAACGGGAACAAATACAATATTTGTATTTGCATGTGGCCCTCGGGCCGTAGTTTGAGGACCCCTGATTTAGGGTCTGTTGTCTGGAAAGAATGGGGTGGGGCAAAGGAGACAGAGAGGTAGGGAACATTGGTGCTTCTGCCTCTGTTGTTTGTAGAACACACCCCAGGCCTGGGACTCACACGATGTCACCACAACCTGAGACAAGCAAGCAGGAATCAAGGCCATTTTCCTAGTAGAGCAGCAGCACGGGGCCCTGAGGCCCCCACAGGGACCCCAGTCCTGATCCTGAGTGCTGGCAATGTATTAGCTCTGGGGATGGGGCGCAAAGAGATACCAGAGCCCTCTGAACAGCTCCCCCCAGTCTCTGGGTGCAGAGGCCCCTTGCCCAGCCAGCCCATGTGCTACAATAATTCTCCGGGCAGGCCGGGTACTCTCTGCTCCCCCTTTTGTTTAAACACAATGAGCGAAGCAGCTTGCTCCCATGTAAAAGGGTTTCAACCGTAAATGCCTGGTGCACCCACATCAGCGAATTATATCACTTCTAACACTCAAAAGCCTGTGTCATTTCCAAATCCCAATTTTCACAACTTCAAGTTTCCCAAGAAGCCTCCTTTGGAAGCCGACTTGTTTCTCCTCAGGCTGTGACTTCAGGGAAAGTCGCTATTTTTGGAAGGGTTTCAGTAAAGTCAGTAGGGGCTCTATGGGCTGGCCCAGAGTGAAGTGTGCTAAAAGGGAGAAAGAGAGAGAGAGAGAGACGCGCTACTATGAAAAAAAGCAGCTCTTAAAAGAAATGTGTTTTGGGTTCAAAAAAACATCCCTAAATAGAAATGCCTAGCTAAAAAAAAAAAAAAAAAACACTCACGGGCTAACAACCAGCCAAGTATTTCATAGATGGCCTTTTTCAGAGGAGAGGTGTGAACTAATTAAGCTGGGGTCTTGTTTCTACTCTGATGCTCCCTGAAATCTATTTGGGGGAGTGTGTTTTGAAAGCCGGGTAACATAGGCTTGATATAGTCTAGAAAAATCTCTCTGGGTCTGGGGACACCTCAGCTAGGAAGAAGCCTCAAGAAGCTCCCAAAGGAATTGACTGGAGTCACATCACTGACTGTTACTTTCCTTCAGCCAAGCAGAGGGTAGATAACCCTTCTCAGATGGGGAAAAGCAGGCGATGTATTTAAAAAAAAACAAACCCACACACCTTCTCGCCACTTTACTTTCGTTTCCCTCAGCCTTTTATTTATACACATGATGTTCTTGAAAAACAGAAAGGGAACCAAAAGGGAAACACAGACCTACAAGCTTAGGGCTTGGTATTTAGCGGGACCAGTGGCACGAGATCAGGAGCGGATGAGATCGTGGAAGCAAAACAATGGGGTACTGGAGACAGTTTTCCATGGCCCCATCCAGCTCCATCCCACACAGGGCTGCCAACAGGAAGGGGCGCTGGCTATGGAGCAATTAAGTGCACGTGTGTATGCAGCCTGATGAGGACACAAGAACAAGGAGAAAAAAACTAGAATTTCAAGAGGGACAGTGCAACTTTAGGTTAGAACAGGAAGCCTGAAGGACCCAGGCTCAGAACTGCCTGGCTCTGGGGTCTCTGCAGAGTCTGCCTGGAGGAAGGAGGGGTGGCCATTCCTGCCACTGGGGACCCCAGGCTGGCCATTCTGCATCAGCCCTCAGAGCCCACAGCCTCTACTGAGATACTTCTTGAAATGAGGGCCTCCGTTGTGCCGTCCTTGTCCTTGTCCTAGTTGGACCACTGCTAGTTGTCACTCCCTCTGCCTCTGGGGCCACCCTCCTGCTGGGAGATGACCCACAGTGACAGCTAAAGAATCCAATCAAACCCTTTCTTGGAGATGCTGCCACCATGTGGCAGAAGTTTTCTGATTTCAAGAGATGGTTTCCTGTCTGCTAAGCAGGGATGGAAGCTGAGGGCACAGCTCCACTCAAGAAGCGCAGGCACGTGTCACAGCCACTAAGCAACAGGTAAATGTGAGGGATAATCTCACACCCAGGTGCCTTCTGACCAATCCCAGACAGCACCCCAATAGTCCGGGTCACAGTGCTTCCATATGAGGGATGGAGGTCCGTTCCCTCCAGGCACTGGAAGAAGAGAGGCCGAAACAGCAGCATCTCTGTGTTCTCTCCTGCGGCAGTCGACGGGCACATAGACACTCTGCCTCTCCAAGCTGGATTTTTGAGCTGGATTTTGAGCTGCTGCCTCAATAGTTATGTTAGCGCATTTCTTTGAAAACCTAAACAGCATCTCAAACGCTTCTCGGAAGCTGCGTACCACAATCACATGCTGCTAACCACAAGCGCTCATTGCGCAGACAATTGTGTGCTCCTAGGGCTGAATGAACATGGAGCAAGCAAGCAGGATGCTGCGAGGAGCTGGCGCAGTGAAGGTACTGGCGGGGACAAGCAGAGTACTCCTCGATGTGGTGCATGGCTCCCACATCCTCCAGGGGCTCCCTCCCCAGTCCCGTCTGCACCATCTGGCTGTGAGCCTTCCCCAACTAGGACATAAGATAAGAGAATGGGGATGTATTATGTGTGTGTTCCTCCCTTCCCAGGGATCAATGATAGCTGGCCAGGAGCAAGAAGAATGAATGAAGAAAGCAGACTTCTACTGCTCCACGGCCATAGGCTGTATTGCATGAGGTTCTTTATCTATGAGAGAACCCCCCTCACCTGCCTGGGGGGCTGCCAAGAAGGAGTAGAACACACAGGCCAAGACAGCACACCTAACACTTTCCTTAATTCTTCAAAGAAATGCATGCTCATAGTTAAAACCAAGGCACCCTAAAGGTTATAAAAAGAACAGAAGAGAGGCCGACTGCCTTTCCCACTTGGCAAGGTCAACGTTTTCTACTTCTTAGTTTCTTCTGAAATTTACCCCAGTAATCATGGGGTTCTACTACAAGTTCTGGATCTGTCCATTCTGGACATGATCTACTGACTTCTTGCTACATTAAAGATTCAGCTCCTCCCCAAATCCCTCTCGAGACAGCACTCTGACACCATCTGGGGCTACCTCCATAGTCAATTAATGTACCTACAGCCACAAAGAAATGATGTCCAGCCTGACGATGGCATGAATGTTGTCTGTCTTGCACTTTTCACCTGTGGATTTATTCACTGAACTCTTCCTTTCCAAACCCCCTGGGATTCTGTCCACAGGCAGTCCCAGACACTTATCCCACCTCCTCCAGACACCTCCCACCTGCCAGCCTGTGGGTTAGGGTTCCAGCCTCAGAAGGGATTGGGAAGCATAGAGGAAGGAAAACGGTTCTAATCACAGTCACAGGTACTTTCTAGACCTTGTCCACTGACTCATGGCCTCATGGGAGGGTGCATTTCAGAGTGAGACAGGCACAAGGGAAATACATATGCGGCGTTAACTGCTCCTGGCAGCCATGACAAGGCCACCACGACCTGGCAGAGGCACAGGTGCTCCACGGGAGGGGCTTTACCTTGGACATCTGACTGAAGTCCGCAAAGCCCTCAGCACTATTGAAGGACCCACTTCCGAAGGGGTCTAAAGTTCCAAAGTGACCTGCAAGCAGCACCAACAGAGGCAGAGTTACAGGGCATCCCAGGACACGCCCCTGGGGTCAAGGGAAAGTGTTGCCTCTCGGTACCCAACAGCCCTGGAAGCAGGAGATCACATTTGTTTGCTGGGGTCATTCTGGACGGGGCTCTCCCACTGGTTCGGGAAAGGAGGGAAGAGGGAGAAGAGGAGCCATTCCACAGTCACCCACCACCCACACGATTGACAGGAGGCAGTCACCTGTGGGTGGAGATTTTTGCTGAGCTTTCTCTTTGGTGGGGCGATCTGCTTGGAGTAAACCCCCATGCCCACCTATGATATCAAACTCCGCAACCAACAAGCCAGCAAGGCCGCAGGACCAGGCAGGGCCTAGTCCCTAAAGCAAAGGGGAGTCTGCAAAAGCTCCTTCCCCTTTATGCAAAAACCAGAACCCTTGATCAAACTTTGGATTCTTTTAGGAAAAATTCCAAGGTACAAATCAAAGATTTATACAGAGGAATGAGTAAGAGTAACCAGTAAAGTTGGTGTGATTACAGAGTTAATTCCTACTGCTGAGCTTCCTTCCAGGAAGGATGCCAGCACTTACTAGGGAAGATGAACAGCCAGGGGGAGCTCTGGCTGAACTGCCTCTGGCGAGGGTTTGAGTACCGCTGATTAATGACATAAACACTGAGGACACACCAGTTTTGGAAATGAAATCATTAACAGGGTAAGTTCCTTCCACTGCCTAAGGAAGAGTCAAAAGGAAAATAAGCCATCAGTCTCACCTGATCCTCTTGAGGAGACACTGGAAGATGAAAAAGGATCACTGGATTCAAAGGGGTCGAGCTGAGTGAAAGGAAAGAGGAAAGAGTGAAAAGCAGTTTGTTTATTGCCCCATCTATTCATTCAACCCACAAAATTTTCTTGACATCTACATGCACCATATCTGGTGCTGGGCCTTGGAGAGGGTAAAACCATTAAAATTAAACCCCAGCAGAGTAAAACCCCAACAGACTGACCCTTCCTGCAGGTAACACCTATAAAGTCTTAACAAAATTAAATTAAAAATAATAATAATAACAACCACCTGAAGGCTTAGGAAGTGAACCAAAGAAGGCAGGCTTTGGAGGAAAATTGAAATGTAGCAGAAAAAATAGTACAGTTGACCCCTGTACAATGTAAGTGTTAAGGACTCTGATCCCCCACATGGTTGAAAATCAGTGTATAAGTACAGTCCACTCTCCACATATGCCAATTCCCAACCACAGATCAAAATTATAGTTGACCCGGGAACAACTTACAAATTGAATAAGTGAACCCGCGTAGTTCAAACCCATGTATGGTACAAGGTTGAGTTTTCCATTTTGACAGCTATATTTGAGAATATAGGGAGGCTAAGACTTCAATAAAAAATGCCATCTTTCGCCCTGGTAGGCATGGCTTAGTGGTTATGGCATTGGCCTGTGCACTGAAGGGTCACAAGTTCGATTCCTGGTCAAGGATGTGTACTTGGGTTGCAGATTCAATCCCACCCCGGTCAGGAATCCAGGGGCATGTGCAAGAGGCAACTAATCTCAATCTCTCTCTCTCTCTCTCTTCTCTCTCTCTCTCTCTCTCTCTCTCTCTCTCTCTCTCTCTAAAAATCAATGGAAAAAATATCCTCACTCCTTGGGTACGGATTTTTTTTTTTAAATGCCATCTTTCTGGCCTGAAGACCAGAGGATGGAAGCCTGGGACAGTCATATCCATGGGAAAGGACAGGGATCCAGAAAAGAGAGGAAGAGAATGGAAGCCCAAATTCCATGTTCAGCTCTTCCCAAGTCTCAGGCTTACCCCTGTAGACTGAGAGCAACTTACAGGGAGTTTGAAGTGTGAATCTCACCAACTTAACAGCCTGGTGAAACAAAACCACTCAAGCTCTTTGGAGAAATGTAACAGAATCCAGTGTCCATAATAGAGCACCCACGATGCACGGGATACATTTCTAAATGATTCAACATACAAGAACCAGAAAAAATGTAGCTAATTCTCAAGGGAAAAGACAATCAATGGATTCAATCCCAACATGACCCAGATGTTGGAATTCTCAGAGGATGACAACTTTAAAGCAGTGATAACTGCTCAATGAAATAAAGAAAAATACGCTTGAATAAAAAGATAGGGAGATCTTAACAGACAAATAGAAACTATACAAAAGAAACAAATGGAATTCTAAACTGCAAAGTATAATTTCTGAAATAACTTCACTATGTTAGCTGAACAACAAAGGATAGAGAAAAAAGTGAGCAAAGTTGAAGACAGAAGAGTGGAAATTCCCAATCTGAAGAGAAAAAAAAAAAGAATGAAAAGAAAACAGGGCTTTAGGAATTTGTGGGAACATTAGCAAAAGGTCTAATACATGTATAACCATAAACTCACAAAGAGAAGAAAAAGAGACAATAGGGTAGAAAAAGAAAATATTTGAAGAAATAATGGCTGAAAACTTGCTAAACTTGGTGAAAGACATAATTTATAGATTTAAGAACCTCAGCAAACCTCAAACAGCATACATACAAAAAGAACATACATCCAGACACTTCACAAACTAATGAGAAGTGAAGGTAAAGAGAGGCTCTTTAAAGCAGCCAGAGAAAACATGTTACATATGGGGGAACAACTATCAGAGAGACGGGTGGCTTCTCATCAAGGACAATGAAGGTCACAAGGCAGTGGAACAACATCTTGAAGTGCTAAAAGGAAAAAAATACTACTAGATCAAGCACAAAAACCCTTCCAGAATGACCACAAAGTAGATCAGTATTACAAGTGCCAAGGAAAGTTCTTCAGGTTGAAGGAAAATGATAACAGGGAAAATAAGAACTTGAGAGAGGAATGAAGAGTGTTAGAAATGGTAAATCAATGAGTAGAAATCATTAACACTACATTGCCCAAGGAAGTCATTTTGACTGCTTTTTAATTTCAATTAGAAAAACAATTATGTATATAAGGACACAATGTCTTAGAATTTTGTGACTTTTTGTACAACATATAAATGCGTTTATTAATAATTGTAGTTACCTCCCCCTCTTTCATTTCCGGTATATATATATGTGTTATACCTATATTGCCCAAAAGCAGTCATTTTGACTGCTTGGGAAATTTTAACTCTTAATATTGAATTGAGTAAATTTCTTATATGACCAGTTCGGCTCTGTATTGAAATAACAGTTTTCATTTTTTTTCGATTACCGTCACATGATAACATACAAGTACATGATAAATTGTCGATACTTGATAAGTTGCAGTTGCTCAATAAGCTAAACTAGTACTTGTTATTCGAATCTTTATGCAGTGATACTTGTTCTAATAAGTTGTTTATTTTATTTCTTTTGCGCCCTAAATTCATGAAAGAAATGTCGAATAGAAGTGAGTTATTGGAAAAGCTAAGGAACAGAAGTGAAGAGTGCTCCGAAATTATTCTTTGACAATGCAGTCATTTTGACTGCTTTTGGGCAATATAGGTATATACTAAATTTCAGTCTTTCTAGTGTTAAGACCACTTTTTTCCTCTTTAAAGTTTCTTTAAAACACATACAATGAAATAAAGCAAAAATTATAACACCGTTTTACTGGCTTTGTAATACACTTAGATGTTTTACATTCACAGGACAGCTATAACATGAGATGCCTACTAGTTGAGGGGAAATGGATAAATGGACCTAAATGGCTGCAAGTTTTCTCCATTTTAAATTAAATGATATAATATTAACTCCAAGTAGCCTATGAAAAGTTAAGTGTATATGGTTAATTCCTAAAGCAACCTCTAAAAAGTAAAAAAAAAGAGGCATAGTTAAAAGGCCAATAGATATAAGAAAATTCTAGAAAACTCTCAATCCAAAAGAGGACAGGAAAGGGGGAACTGAGGTACAAAACAAAGAGGATTAAAAGAAAGCAAACAATAAAATACTAGATTTAAATCCAACCATATCAATAATTACAATAAATGTTAAGGGATAAGGGACTAGATTACACACTCCATTTAGAAGGCAGAGTTTTCCAGACTGGATTGAAAAGCAAGTCCAAACTACATAGCCAACTCAAAAGATATCCTTCAGCCTGGCTGGGGTGGCTCAGTAGTTGAGTGGCGACCTATGAACCAGGAGGTCATGGTTCGATTCTCAGTTAGAGCACATGCCCAGGTTGTGGGCCTGATCCCCAGTGTGGGGCATGCAGGAGACAGCCGATAGAAGCTCTCATCGATGTTTCTATCTCTCTATCCCTCTCCCTTCCCCTCTCTTTAAAAATCAATAAAAACATATTTTAAAAAAGGGCCAACCCTGCCAACATCTTCATATATAAACATCAAATAGGTTGAAAATAAGTAAATAAAAAAAATATGACACAAACAGTAAGCAAAAGGAGGATAAAATGGCTGCTTTAAATGTGTGATAAAAAATAGTTTCGAGAGAACCAAGATGGCGGCACAGGTTAACGCCGGAGTTTGCTGCCTCAAACAACCACTTCAAAAATACAACTAAAAGACAGAACGGACATCACCCAGAACCACAAGAAGGCTGGTTGAGTGGAAGTTCTACAACTAGGAGGAAAGAGAACAGCATACCCAGACTCAGAGGAGGCGCAGTGCTGAAGTCAAATACTAAGGTGCGGAGGTGCGCGAGGAGCGGGCTGGCGGCTGAGGGCGCGGTTGTCTTTTCCAATTGGGAGGGAGTCTCAGATTCTGAGCTCCAGATCCGGGCGAGTCTCTAGGGACCCAGACTCAAACGGGAGAAGCGGGACTGTCTGGCTTCAGCTGGAACTCGAAGGCAGCTTTCTCTCCGAGGTTTGCAGCGGTTGCTGGGACTCTGAGAGGCAGAGCCCCTGGGGACAGGACTGAGAGCAGCCATAACTGCTCACTCAGCCCGCCCTGTTGATCCCTGGGACACGCCCCGCCCAAGCCCTGCACAGAGCCATTTGCCGGATAGCCTCAGGCAAAGGCTAGATTAGCACCTCCCTAGAGGACAGAATCTTAAAAGCAGCAAGAGAAAGAAACTCAGTTACCTACAAGGGAATACCCATACGACTGTCAGCTGATTTCTCAACAGAAACTTTGCAGGCCAGAAGGGAGTGGCAGGAAATATTCAAAGTGATGAATGCTAAGAACCTACAACCAAGATTACTTTATCCAGCAAAGCTATCATTCAGAATTGAAGGTCAGATAAAGAGCTTCACAGATAAGGAAAAGCTAAAGGAGTTCATCACCACCAAACCAGTATTATATGAAATGCTAAAAGGTATCCTTTAAGAAGAGGAAGAAGAAGAGAAAGGTAAAGATACAAATTATGAACAACAAATATGCATCTATCAACAAGTGAATAAATAATCTGATGAACAGAATAAACTGGTGATTATAATAGAATCAGGGGCATAGAAAGGGAATGGACTGACTATTCTTGCGGGGGGGAAGGGGTGTGGGAGATGCAGGAAGAGACTGGACAAAACTCGTGTACCTATGGATGAGGACAGTGGGTGGGGAGTGAGAGCGGAGGGTGGGGCGGGAACTAGGAGGAGGGGAGTTATGGGGGGGAAAAAGAGGAAAAAATGTAATAATCTGAACAATAAAGATTTAATTAAAAAAAATAGTTTCAAGACAAAGATATAACCTGAGGAAAATAAGAAACACTTTATAATGACTAAAAAAAAAAAAAAAAAAAGGTCACTGCATCAGACAATAATTATACATGTACTAGAGGCCTGATGCATGAAATTAATATAAGAATAGGCCCTCGCAGCCCCATCCAGATGGTTGTTCAGCTGTTCAGCCGTTCGGTCGATTTGCATATTACACTTTTATTATTGTAGACTAGAGGCCCGGTGCATGAAAATTCATGCACTGGAGGGGGGCGTCCCTCAGCCCGGCCTGCTCACAGTCCAGGAGCCCTCAGGGGCGGGAGGTGACCTGGCCATTAGGGGAAGGCAACGCTCCCATCAGACCTCTGCTACTGCCACTGCTGGCAGCACAAGCCTCGGCCGGCCCTGGTTACCTGAGCCTTGATTGGCCCTGGGCAGCTGGGCAGCCACCATTTGAGGCTTGCCTGCACTTTGGGCCGGCCCTGGGTGGCTGGGGGGTTGAGGGTGGGTCCGCCCGCACCATGCGCCTGCCATCCTCCCCTCCCCCTGGGCTGGGCTGAAAGGACTGTGGGACTCTGGCGGCAGGAGCCAGGAGCGGCCAGACCCGCCTGAGGGTCTGCCACCCCTCTGGGGCTGAAAGGACTGGGGGACTCTGGCGGGGCTGAGGGGACTGGGCACCACCATCTTGTGTCTATGGGTTCTGCCATCCTTTGTGACGGTGTGACGGTCAATTTGCATATTCCATCTTTATTAGATAGGACAGGCACTTGATAAAGCTTCAAAATATATGACGCAAACTTGACAGAATTAAGGGGGATATAAACAATTCCACAATAACTGGAGCTTTAACACCCTACTCTCAGCAGTTGGAAGAATCAGAAAACAAACACAGTGAAGACATAGATGACCTGAACACAACCAACTCTGACCTAACTGGCATTTACAGACCATGACACCTAATAACTGCAGACATTCTTCCTAAATGTATGTGATATGTTCACCAACACAGACCATACAACAAGTTGCAATAAATTTCAGAATCTCAATAGAAACATATGAATATATTCTCTAATAACAATAGATATTAATTAGAAATCAATATTATACAATACCTAAAGGAAAAAAACAAGTATCTGGAAACAAAGCAATGCATTTTAAATAACACATGGTTCAGAGAAATCACAAGGGAAACTAGAAAATATCTCAAACTGAATAACAATGAACACATATCCAAATGTGTGGGTGGTGTTGGTGGTATAGTGGCGAGCATAGCTGCCGTCCAAAATGTGTGGAAAGCAAGCTAAAGCAGTGTTTAGATGAAATGTGTAGCTTTAAACACATTAGAAAAGAAGGTCTAAAATCAATGGCCTAAGGTTAGATATTAAGATGTTTAGAAATAGAAAAGCAATGTACTAACCCAAAATAAATAAGAGGAAGGAAATAATAAAGAGCAAAAATCAGTGAAACAGAAAACAAACAGAAGAGAAAATTAACAAAGCCACTTGTGGAGAAGATACAAACTGATGAAGAATAAGAGGACATGCCCTAGCCAGTTTGGCTCAACGGACAGAATGTCAGCCTGCAGACTGAGGAGTCGCGGGTTCGATTCCCGTCAAGGGCACATGCCTGAGTTGCAGGCTCAATCCCCCGTAGGGGGTGTGCAGGAGGCAGCGATCAATGATTCTCATCACTGATGTTTCTATCTCTCTCTCTCTCTTCCTTCCTCTCTGAAATCAATAAAAATATATTTAAAAAAAAAAGAGGACAGCCCAGCCAGTGTGGTTCAGTGGTTGAGTGTCAACCCATGAACCCAAGAGGTCACTGGTTCAATTCCTGGTCAGGGTACATGCCTGGGTTGCAGGATTGATCCCCAGTAAATGCTGTGCAGGAGGCAGCCAATGGATGATGTTTCTTTCTCATCGATATTTCTCTCTCTCTATTCCTCTCCCTTCCTCTTTCTCTCAAATCAATAAAAACATTATTTTTTTAATTAAGAGGACAGATCGTCAAAACCAAAAAAAAAAAAAAAAAGAATATTCCATGACAGGTCCGATAGACAGAAATGTTACAATGAACCCCTGCCCTCAAGGAACTCTGGGTTTGATGATGCACACACAGGTCCATGGGAAGAAGAAAACCAAGGAATGTGTAAGTGGGGACAGAGATGCAACCTAGAATACTAAGTGAGGCTACAAACCCTCACATAGTCACAAAAATTATTCATTCACAAAACACTTTTGGGCCTAATGTTGTACAAAACACATGGTTTGCTAGATATTTGGGGGCAGGGGTCATGTTTGCCTCACACACTAAGTGCAGCCAGGCTGGTCTGGGCTTCCTCCTGCCGTGACTGGGACCCACGGAGGCAGTCTGACTCCAATGGCACTATCAGTGCTTTGCTCTAGGAAGACAGCAGGGGTGGTCATGTGGAGGCCAGGGTGGTGTATGGAAGTGTGTGGTGTGGTTTTTTTGTTTTGTCTTTGTTGGGAGACAGAGCAGCAGTTGGGGCAGAGACAGAGCAGAGAACCCAGAAGATGGGCCTTAGCTGAAGTAAAGGGACACAGAAAGGGACAGAGGAATGACAGCTGTTCAGGACACAGCTGCCTCCTGACTTGGGCTCCCTGGACCACTGGGATGTGATGCCCTGCTTCACAGGACAATCCTCACAAGGACCCACAGGCACAGACACTCCCCGATCCAGGAATGAGCCCTGGCCCATGACCGGCTGCCAGAGAACCACCTGGCCTCACACTGCCCACAATCATCAGGCTTAGTGAGCACAGATCAAAGGACAGAGTCCTGGCTCAATCCTAGGGAAGACAAGGACAGCCTGCCTTCACAGGCACAATGCACACACAGGTACTCCCCCTTCCCACAGCACTCACCTTTGAAGGTAAGGAAGGGTTTTTCGTGAATGGGTCTGAGGAAAACGGGTCATTCTTTGTATGTTTCTTAAAGAAGTCATCGGGGGCAGAGCCACGGAATGGGTCACTTTCTTTGAAAGGATCTCCTCCAAAAGGGTCTACAAAGTGTTTTGGAAAAGAATGCATCATGAATAAACATGTTTAGTGAAAGCAGCTAAATATGAAAGAACACATAACTGACTGATGCCATTTAGGTGAAATTCTAGAAAAGGTAAAAACCATAGTGAGAGAGAACAGGTCAGTGGTTGCCAGAGACCTAGGGGTTTGGGGGTGGTGGCACAAGGGAACCTTGCAGGATGATGGAAATGTTCATTATCCCACACAACTGTACTCATTTGTCAAACCTCATCTCACCCTGGCCGGTGTGGCTCAGTTGGTTGGAGCCTTGTCCTGAACACCAAAAGGTGGCAGTTCGATTTCCAGTCAGGGCACATACCCGGGGTGCAGGAGGCAACTGACTGATGTTTCTCTCTCACATCAATGTTCCTCTCCTTCTCTCCCTTCCTCTCTCTAAATATCAATTAAAAAAAAAAAAAAAACACCTCATCTTATTACATACTTAAAATTGGTGAATTCTGTTGTGTATAAATTATACCTCTCAATAAAAGTCTATTTTAAAAATAATAAACAATGTGGGCAAATCCATAGAAACGGAAAAGCAGATTAGTGGTTGCCAAGGCCTGGGGGAGAGAAAATGGGGAGATGACTACTAATGGGGATGGGATCTCCTTTTGGGGTAATGGCAATATTCTGAAAGTAAACAGAGATGGTAGTGGCAGAACACTGGAAATGTACTAAATGCCAGTGACTTGTTCCCTTTAAAATTATTATGTGTTACGTGAATTTTACCTCAGTAAAAAAATAAAAGAAAAAATATAGGCAAAGTGATCCCAATACCACAACCACAGTGTGTTCATTGACCTCAAATGTGGGGTGCGGCATGGTGACTAGAGAAGGGGGACAGCCACCATCACCAGGAAGGAACAAGACACCAGGCTTTCATGCAATGCAAACGGTTGCCCTTCCCAATGTACACTCCCGCCGCTCTTGGAATGGATGGACAGAAGTCCTGCCACGTGCATGTACTGCACAGGACCCCCTGAAGCTGCCACAGGGACATAAGCAGGCACAAGTGACTGAGCTGCTATGGGCAACAATCACCGGGCTGCCGGGAGCTCCTGTTCTAGTTCTGTTGGGAGATGGGCAACAAGGGCACCGGACTGTGAAAGGGAGGGACGTTACTGCCCGTTTCCTTCAGAAATGAACCTCCCTGCGGCCCTGTGGTGGGGGACCTGGTGGAGGAGACTGGACAGTGTTTTACATTGCCTTCAGCTTGCACTAGGAACCAGACTATTCCGAGGACGAGTACATGAAACTTGTCTTTTAACAAAGGCTTTTACCTGTGGAAGCTATCTGCTGTTCTGCAAAGGGATCATTCTGGAACGGGTCACCTAGATTAGAGGAGAGAGAAACGTTTAGCTTCACAGGAGAAATGACCCTGGCATTATCAAAGTGGAGAGCAGGGAAGGCCACTGGCTGAGGCAGTTTTTCGTGGCTGGGACATAAGAGAAATGAAGGTATTCTGGCTGCTCAACCCAGGCCAGAGCCCGAGGAAATGTACAAGCCAGGACTCACTCTTCTTCTATGCCACATGCCACTCCTGCATCCCCTTTCCCCCTCACATCCCTTGGCTATTAGAACAGGGGCCCGGGCTGCCCCAGTCCTCAATCACGTAGCCCACCCTGGAGCCATGCTGAGCTCAGTACATCTGAGCCTCAGGAGCTGCCCAAGGTGCTTCACTCCAAATCTACAACTGGAAAGGCTCCCACTGCCACTCCCTGCCTCGGTATCTTTCTCAGAAATGTACAGAAATGTACAGTATTTCCTGGAAATACTGTTTTGTTATGAAAAAAATAAATAAAAATGGAGAAACATAGGAAATCTTGTTTCTAGAAATTCTTAGTTATTTTTGACTCACGTGTAGCTCTGGTAAACCCACCAGTTGAGTCCTTAGATTTATGTGGGGATCTGTCATTCGCTAGGTAGTTTCATAATCGTTACTGTATCTGGTTATCTTACCAATCCTTCCATTGCAGTGAGGAAGTATGTGCCACCCACTGGTGGATGGAAACTGAAGTGCGAAGTGTCTAGGGGCCGAGCAAACCATGAGCTCTTCCCACCACACCCCAAGGCCTCAGCTCCTCAGTTAACTGGGTAAGGTGAAAACTCAAAAGGCCCATGAGGCTCAGAGAATTCCTTTCCTCCTCCATTTCAGGGGGTGATATCTCCCACCTATTATGGTCACTGAACAACCCTCAATGGCACAAACTAAACAGCCTTTCAGTGAGAGAGTGGGAGCCAAATGAAATACCTTTGAAGGGATCGGCTCCTTTAAACGGGTCAGATTTGAAGGGGTCTTCTGCCTGGAAAGGATCCGGATGCAATTCTTGGGCATTGTTGCTAAATAACAAGGCTTTATTTTTGAAAGGATCATCCTAAAATTTTGTGAAGAGACAGGACAGGAACTTTATTATTTCAGATTTAAATCAAAGTATAGAATTCCATACCTAACTCATAATTTTTCCTTTAAGTGCTATGACCCTGAAGAGAATAACTTTTTTAAAAAATCATTGAAGATGGACTTTAGTTAATAATATTGTGTCAACAGTGGTTCATTAGTTGTGACAAATGTGCCATATAAAGATTTTAATAGGGGAACGTGGGTGTGGCGTGTTTGGGAACTCTCTGTACCACCTTGGCAATTGTTCTGTAAGCCTAACACTCTTCTAAAATAGGTTTATTTAAAAATCACTGAATGGAAGCAGCCCAAACATCCATGGATGGATGAGTGAATAAACAAAATGTGGTATATATTCATGCAACAGAACATTATTCAGCTTTAAAAAGGAAGGAAATTCTGACACATGCCACAACATGGATGAACCTTGAGTATATATGCTGAGTGAAATAAGCCAGTCACGAAAGGACATATATGATTCCACTTATAGGTGGACCTTATAGTAGTCAGATTCATGGAGACAGAAAGTAGAATGGTGGGTGCCAGGGGCTAAGGGTGGGGGAATGGGAAGTTAGTGTTTAATGGGAAAGAGATTCAGTTAGGGAAAATGAAGAAGTTCTGGAGATGGATGGTAGTGATGGCTACACAACAATGTGAATGTACTTAATGGCACTGAACTGCCCACTTGAAAATGGTTAAGATGGTAATTTTTGCTATGTGTATTTTACCACAATTTGAAAAATTTTTAAAAAATCATTGAGACAGAAAAAAGTCACATTTTTTGAAATCTTAAAAAATATAACAAGCCACCAACTGCAGTGCAGGACTCTTCAAAGGTGTGACCTCCCTCAGTCATCTTTATTTCAGAGCTTGTGGGCACTTTAAAACATGCTGTTTCCACACCAAGAAACATACATGCTGGCTATTTGCATCCTGGGAGGAAGTGAGCGCTAATGCAGTTAGAACTACTAGAGCATATACACTACTTTGCATTTTTTTTAAGTGCTTATTTCTAGAAACAAACACGCATATTGAAATCAAAAGGAAAAAAAAGATTTGCTTTTGAAGAGTACATTTTTATAGTGGGAACAGCCTATAAAGAGGGGAGGTGGAGTTTGCAGTATGCAAGGGAACAATGCATTTGGCTTAAAAATACTGAGTGTTTTGGTTAATAAAGACACATCCTCAGTGAAAACATGCAAGTTTCACTGTGATATTTAAAAGCACAACATCCTCCCTGACTCTGGTGAATGTGCCAGCATCTGTGGGGCTGGCACATGAATCCATTCTTCCAATTGACCAAAACCAAATAAAAGAGCTGGAGCTTTGGTCAAAATACAAACAGTGGTTACTGGGAAATGACATCAAAGGTGCCAAAGGAAGATTCCTGACAAGGCTTCCTACCACATGAGCCGGTCCACCTGGGGAGGATGGGTCTCAGAGGCACGGGGCTAACAGGAAGCCTTGGGCTTTGGAAAAAAACGAACCAACACCCCTGGCCTCTGATGAATATGAAGCAATTGTTCTTACCTGAGAGATCATCTGGAGCCTCCAGCCAGGGTGGGGAAACCTTCCCAAGGTGGGGAAACCACAGCAGGTTCTTAGGCAAGTAAGTACAGAGGTCTGCAAGCACCGCGCGACTGGTGGCATGGCAGAGCGCAGTTCTGTAGGGACATTGTGGTGCTAATGACCACAAGATGGGTACCCAAGGAGCACCCAGTGGGGCTCTCAGACACAGAAAATAGGATGGAGTCCTAATCTAAGGAGGCCAGGGGGCCAGAGGGAAATAAGCCTCTCGAACTGTACCATGGGCAAGGTACCTACTCCAGAAGGATCAGGAGGGATCACAACACAGATGAAGCCAGGAGTTAAGAATAACGTTTCTTTCATTTTCAACTGGCACCAATTTACAAGGTGATTGGATTTGTTTTGATTTGCTTTTTAAAAATGTTTTCCATCATCATTTGAAAGACTGCCAAATACCAGTGGACAATGTCAGAGAAAAGACTGATTCTGGAAGCTCCAACCATGAGTACCCTAAACTCAAAGTCAGGTCTCCACTCTCTCTCAGGGGCAATTATCTCCCTGAGGCAGCCATTGCTCCCTCCCCTTCAAAGGAAAAGCCTCAGAAAACCTTAGCAAGACTCATGTGGTTAGGGTAACCACCGGGGGTTTGGGTTCCATTTCACAGATTCAGAGCAGAAAACTAGATTTCCCCTGGTACAGAGATACCATAATCTTTTCCATCCACGAGAAATGAGCCATCTGCCAACTTGGGAAATACAAGTGCAGCAGACCAGCATGGTATGAATGATACGTCCCTTGGCAAAGGTTAAAATACCTTCAAACATAAATAAGTTCAGTGACCGGTCTCAAGTTTTGTACTTCATAGGAAATAGAAATGACACCTGTGAAAGGACATCAAAGGGGTTTCTGTGACATTCCTTCCCTTTAAATGGGACTGGGCAGTGGTGTACTGGTGAACCAGCTTTCTGGAAAAAAGTCCTGATGGGCAGATTCTGCCAATTCCTGTGGTGTAAAGACATTGTGGCCGATTTCAAGTTATCAAAGTTGAACAACCAGCTAACAAAATTCCTATTTAATAATCAGCTGTGGAGTGTCAGTAACACTGGCTCCTGTGTGTCACTGGGGCTGGATGTGACAGACAACCCAGTCTTTCAGGATGAGTTCTCAGCAAGGTTTAAATTAGGGTTGACTTATAACCTACTCTCTACTAGACAGATTGGTTGGATATTGACATCAAGGGCAAGAGGTCAACATACTCATCATCCAATGAGAGAAAAGACATAACCATGACTTTAAGAATCCAGTGTGAGCTTAACACTAAACTTAGTAATTTTAGTAGTAGTGCCTAGGCTTTTAGAAAGTTCTAGATGCAGCTCTGTGGTTATAGTAATCTTAGGACTAAACCCCTCACTTTCACCCCTCTGAAGAGAACTAAGAGCTCCCTCTCCTTTGGAGCAGACTTGAAATGTTCAGGATTAATAAAAAGCCCTCTTCAAAGTGTTTATTAAGAAATGGAAACAAACCAAAAAAATGCTTTAAAAACTGTATTTGTACAAGATAGTTTTTCTTTCAGGTATCAATTGCAAGTTTCTATGTAACATAACTGACATCAACATTCCAAGATGAACTGACTCTCATGTAAACGCTGCTCCACTTAGAAGAACAAAAATAAAGAAAGGTTAAAAAAAAAAATCTGTGGGCAATGGGGAAGGAGGAATCACTGGCCACTTGCAAACTGCCACTTCACTGCCAACTTTTATCCAAGGAAACCAATTTTATCAAACCCTGCCAAACAGTTTAAGAGCAAGGTGTTCCCTGAACTAGCACAGAATCAGACAAGCCGAAAGCCATGGGAGGGGACTGGTGACAAGGAGGGGGGAAGTAAGAGCAGGGTTGTGAAGCTGAAATGCACACTGAGGGAGCCAGACCCCAAGCAGGAAATTCTGTCCCACGCACTTCATGAAGAATGAACGTTCATCGTCTACATTCAAGCTGACGATGGGCCCAAGAGCGGATATGTCGCCCATTTACAATTCCACAAGAGCGAGGAGTCTGAATGGCTGAGGGAGGCAATGATGGCCAGAGAGAGGAGACAGATGAGGACACCACCAGCATATTCTAAGCAATGTGGGGAAGGAAGCTCAGCTTCCTCATAAATTCTTGGGACTGAGTACTTGGCTACTGAGAAAAGAAACATGTCAAGGAATGAACATAAAGAACCGAGTCTTGAGAGCGAGAAAGGCTGTCCAATTACAAGGAGGAAAGGAATCCAGGAAGCAAACAAAGCTGGGAGCAGAAGGAGGGCTTGGAAGGGGAGCCCTGGAGAGAGATGAAGTGCAAGGTGATCTGCTAAAGGCTTTGGGAGCAAAGCACAACAAACCCATCAAGACCAACCACGTCCCACTGGCACCCTCAAGAGCACAGAGACACTCTCCTCAGCCAGACTAAATTGGAAACAGCACACACCAGGGCTCAGGGCTACAAAGGCAGACTGGTGGGAACAGGGGGGCGTGACAATCTAAGGAAAAAGTAGCACCTGCTGGATGCCAGAAGCCTGAGAGACCACAGCAACCTAAGAGCTCAACAGCCCCTCGGGCCTTGATCAGGGCCCCCAGGTTCATGAGGTTTGGACTCATGTGCCAGGTTTCAAATGTAACCAAAATTTCAGAACAGAGGCCAATTCGTAGGTGAGGCAGCAATGTCCCAAGGGGGCTATTTTCTTTCTCTTTATCAATACATTTGATTTTCAAGGTGCTCCTTGTGGAAACAGACAAACACATTTCCTCAGTCCCTCCATTAGCAGGATGTGGGTTTTACAATTTAGGAGACTGATCCAAGTTTGGTTAAGTTTGGGAAGCCTTCCATATTTGGGTGATTGGCCCATGGAGATGGAAGTCTTTTAAAAAGTGGTTTTACAAAGGGGTCAGGCCTATCCCATTGCTTTGCCCTGGATGAAGCACGGCCACATACGCTGGGCTGCGGGGCTGGTGGGGACTCTCAAAGCAGCAGTGAAAATGAGAAACGCCCTGCACTTGGATAGAACAAAGCTGGCAAGTGCTGGACCGAGTGGGAGGGGCATTCTCGGATCCCAATGTGGGACCTGATCCCAAGACCAGAATATATTTATTCCACCTTTACCATGGTTCCAAAACCGCCCCTCTCTGTCAGGGAGACACCCTCGCTCAGGTCAGCTAAGTTGGTCAGGCTGGCGCCATGGGCCCCATCGAGCATCTCGTCGTACTGCTCCAGGCTCCTGTGGGCTTCCTGCTGGCTTTCGTGCAGCTGGGCAAGTTTGCTTCTTGCCTGCACAACAAAGACATCACTTGCATCAAGTGGCATTTAGGGAAAAATTCTCAAGTGAGACATGTTTTTCATACAACCCTGAGCAACTCGTGTGGGTAACTAAATTACCCACCTATAAGGAGTAGGTGACCCCTGTCACCATATTTACAAGAAGTGAGAACCCTCATAAACCAAGACAAGGTCCTTCTCATGGCCCCAGAAGACCTCTCTGTATCCCCAGCTCCTGAGAGAGGCATGAGTTCAAAAACATTTGTCAATTCTAAACAAACTGAAATTAGACAAAACCCAGATTCACAATGTGTTCAAAGTAATACTCTCTTCTATAGGGTTTTCATTACCCACTTGTTCCTCCTTGTCCTGGAGAAGACGTGTGAGGCCCAGGAAAGGAAGACAGCCTATGAGGCCAGACAGACCCAGGCATTTACTTTAAATGTCTCGTACACACGGCATGACCTCAGGCTGGTGACCTAACCTCTCCGTTCCCTCTTCTCCAAAGTGAACCATTGGAAATCATAAGTAAGAAAGTCTCGCAGGGTGGGCATTAATAAACAGCAGTTACTGTTATTATCATTATTATTAATAACATACTCTTATATCCTGGCTCCTATGAAGATTTTACAAATTCTAAAAATATTTAATATAATACTACAGATGTTAAAAAAACACAATTTAGTTATTAAATCCCCCCCAGTACATGTTTGTGATAAATTTTTGTCTGTAAACTGTCAGAGAACAAAAGCTCTATTTCGTTAAGAAAGGAAGCACAGCCCCTGGCTGGTGTTGCTCAATGATTAGTGTCAGCCTGCACACCAAAGGGTCTTGGGTTCAATTCCCGGTCAAGGGCATGTACCTGGGTTGTGTGTTCACTCCCCAACCCTGGTCAGGGCACATGCAGGAGGCAACCAATCCATGTGTCTCTCATATCGATGTTTCTCTCTCTCTCTCCCTCCCTCCCTCCCTCCCTTTCTCTTCGAGGAAGCAATGGAAAAAAAGTCCTTAGGTGAGAATTTACAAAAAAAAAAAAAGAAAGATAGGAAGGAAGCACAAATAGCCATTTCAATACTGCTGAGGGCACACATAATCCCCATTTTGTACGAGGGAGACCCAAGGGCCAGCAGGGAGTGCTATGGCTGTCACATACAGTGGGCAGGAAAAGCGCTCTCCCTCTGCTGGTAAGCAGCGCTGTAGGCCACATGGCCTTCACATCAGAGCAGGACAGGGAGGGGCTGCCCAGGAAGCCTGAAGACCTGAACAGGGCACTGCATTCAACAATGCTCATTATAGGTTGGGGCCTCCTCAATGTAATAGTCTTCAAATTGCATGGGAACAGAGAGGCACTGGACATGTCTCCCACACTCATGCTTTGGGAGAACCAGGCTGATGAGATCATTTCCTGAACCCAAGGCTCTCTCCCAGTGAGCCATTAATTTAATGCCCTTCATTCTGCCCTGCCCACTCCTGAAAATGAGATGCACTCAAGCAGGGAAGGGAAAAGAGTGAGACCAAAGTCAGCATGATGCTAGAACACACACCAGGGGTTCTTAGCAATTAACCTCCAGGTGGCAGGACACTAGTGAAGTGAGTGAGAGCAAAGGGAACAAGAGGCCTCAGGGCAGACACTTGGCCCCGCCAGTCAAACAGCTCATGGCAGCTGCTCTGCTTGGCAGAAAACCCTAGGCCTTGGTAGGGCCTGCTCCCAGGGAGATACCTGGTTGATTTCATCTTGTGTGGACTTCAGAGACTTGATAATAGTTTCCAGTTGAACCTTTCCAGCCTGAATGCTCTGCTCCAGCTGGGTCTCTTCCTGCTGCAGCCGGTTCAGTTCCGATTTGGCCCGGTTGAGGTCGTCCTCCTGGGACTTCAGGTCAGATTCCTGCGACTGGATCTGGGTCTTCAATGAGGAAATCTGAAATAAGATGAAATATGGCTCCAAAGGGAGAATTCTTAGTTCACGGTTTTTGAACAAGCTAAGCCAGGGAGGCCAGACACCTGACTTCCTCACGGGCCCTCTACACCCAAAACAAAGACAGAAACAAGGCAGACATGCTCACCCATGTGACTAACAGAAAGTCATGTTGGGATAAAGAGGAACTCAAGCTCAAGCTCGAACAAACACAGGCAATCTGTCCTAGTGGTTGAATGTCCCCATACGAGGCCTAAGAAGGTTTTATAATCTGCTGAGGCTAGGGCCTCCCTGGTTGTAACAAGCAGTTAAGATAGCAGAGGAAGGAGAGAGGTGTGCTGGACTCCCATGCTGTCAGGCGCGGGCCAGGGTAGGTTGTTCCTGGGGATCAAGGCTGATCTCTCCTCAACTTGGCAAGTGAGACTGAGGTCAAATCCCAAATGTGTAAACATTTTTCCAAATGATATGTCCAACTACTCTATCAAACCAGCAGTGTTCTTCACATTGTGTTTCAAGGTCATCGTGAGCTTGGAGAAGCCCTTGGGAAGCTCCCTCCCCATGCTGGACTCCAGTGGAACGGGACTCACCATCTGAGTCTCATCCTGGCACTTCTGCCTGACGTCACTCAGCATGTCTCGGAGTTTGGCCTTCTGCTGGTCCATTTCATCCAGGCGGTCCTGGGCATCCTGTTTCTGAGCTTCCAGCTCTTGTAAATTGCTTGTTTCCCGGTCTAAGTCATTTTGTAATTCCTAGGGAAGGGTTGTGTGAATTTACTTGAGACTGGTGAAAAGGAGCCATGCTAATATAACAGGTCACAGCCTGGGCTGGAGCCCCTGGACATCTGTGCTCGGGGTGGCACCCTCCACACACCCACTGTAAATGTGTGCATCTCAGCTGGGTGACTTGGCTCAATTTCTCATTAAGTCCCTTCAGCAAATATTTACCGATGGCCTAAGAGAGGCCAGGCACCAGGAGAGGGGCTGGGACCCTGACAAAAAGAGCTCTCCAGGGACCTATGGCTGGGGGTGGGCAGGAGACAGGAGACATCTAAACACAAATGAACTGGGATGAAAGGCACAAAGAGACAGCATGGGTGCTGGTGGAGTCACAGGGGGTATGGGGAGACCGGACTGATGCTACATGGATGGAGAAGACCCCAGTGGAAGTACCACTTAGGATGGACCCGAAGAACAAGCAGGTGGCAACCAGAAAAAGAGGCAGGAATGTGACCATGTTATCTCAGACATGCCCCGTGTTCACCAGTCTCAAGTAAATTCAAAGATCCAATACAGAGGCCTGGTGGAAGGGGCCAGGGAGCTCCAAGGGGTGTGGGGATGTCCATTCCAGTGGAGCAAAGGGAAGCAGGATGAGGGCGGCAGAGGCTGCCTCGCTTCTGCAGTGGGAAGCCCCTGGAGATTGTTCAAATGTGGGTGTGGGACCTGCTGACTCTCCACTGCTAAAGCCCCTCCAAGTCAGCCATATCTACAGAGATGGCCAGTCCAGGAATCCTTGGCCCTGACAACTGCACTCCTAGGAAAAGCATCCTAGAAGTATATGGAACATGTGACAACATAAACATCTGTAACAGCAAAATCATCAACAATGCAAATTCAACCAGGCAGGGCTGGCTGATGACTTACGGTACAGCCCACTCAAGGGATCTCAAGTTCCCAGTTACAATGTGAAATGAACAAGGTGCACAACAGAGAACCTGTTTTGCACCGTGGCATTCGTGCAAACAGGAAGGGGAGAATATGCATAGCTGTCTCTCCTTAAACATGCACAAGGGAAGGCCTCCTGGGAGCAAATCCACTGCATCCCTGGAGACCAAAGGGAGGACAGGAGGCTTTCATCTTTGATTTTCAACCAGACAAGTCTAATGGAATGTCTTATCTGAAATAGGATGGCAGAAGAGAATGTAGCCTGAGGAGCCAACAGAGGGAGCCAGGACGGTGGGCAGAGGGTTCAGGCTGGATCCAGGGAGAGGTGACAGTGGCCTAGGCAAGGTGGTAGCTGTGGACTCAAAGAAAGGGGTGAATTTGAGGATCTCTAGTGGGGGTGAGGAAGGACAAGTGGTAAGGCTGATCCCCAGGGCTGGCCAGAGCTGCAGGTGGCTGGTGCCTTTTCGGGACAAAACCAGAAGACGGTGCATGTCTCCCTCTCCCTGCTTTGAGGACAAGAACATCTCGACTCTCTCTTCTTTCAACAGGCAAAATGCATCTCTGAGTTATTTTGGAGAGCTGCGTTCTCTACTCCGCAGTCTCCCTGCCCCTGACCTTTAATTCAAAGAGCACATCTCAAGTCTGACACGTTTGGGAGATAACACAGAATGTCTGAAAGGGGGTTGGTGGTGGAGAGTCGGGGTGTAGGTTTACCACATCTGAGGGAAGGACAGGTGATGGGGGAGGGGGAGAAGAAGTGTGGCAGCCTGGGACAGCAGGTGGCCAACAGCCTAGGCATGTCAAAGAATCTGGGCCTTGTTCCGAAATGGATAAGGAGCCATTAAAGAGCATTGCAGAGAAAAAGACTCATCAGCGCGTTTAGGAAGGGCACTGGGGTCACAGTGGGGGAGGTGTCTGAGCAAAGAGAGAACAGAAATAATGCAGACAACCCACAGACTCAACAAAATCCCCACCAGAACCCCAACTGGCTTCTGTGTAGAAACTGTAAACAGATTCCAAAATTCATAAGGAAATTCAAGGGATCCAGACTAACCAAATGATCTTTTTTTTATGACATATATATTTCTATTTATTTCAGAGAGGAAGGGAGAGGGAGAGATAGAAACATCAATGATGAGAGAGAATCACTGATTGGTTGCCTGGCAGCCCCATACTGGGGATTGAGCCCGCAACCTGGGCATATGCCCTGACAGGAATTAACCATGACCTTCTGGTTCATAGGTCAACACTCAACCATGGAGCCAGTCTAACCAACAAAATCTGGAAAAAGAAAAACAAAGTTGACAGACTCATACTTTTTTATTTCAAAACTTACCACAAAGCTTCAGTCATCAAGACAGTGTGGTACTGGCATAAGGAGAGAGATATATAGAGGTCAATGGGATAGAACTGAGAGTCCAGAAATAAACCCACACGTCTATGGCTAATTGAATTTCTGATGCGTGCCAAGACCATTCAGTGGGGGAAAGGACAGCATTTTCAACTAAGAGCACTGGGACAACTGAATCTTTACATACAAAAGAGTGAAGCTGGACCCTTACCTCACACCATATATAAAAATTAACTCAAAATAAGTCAAAGACCTAAATCTAAGAGCTAAAACTATAAAATTCTCAGAAGAAAACATGGGATAAATCTTAATGACCTTGGGCTTGGCAGTGGGTTCTTAGATGTAACACCAAAAGCAAAAAAAAAAAAAGAATAAAAAAACTGAGCTTCACAAAAATTTAAAACTTTTGTACTTCAAAGGACGCCATCAAGAAAATGAAAAGATGCCCTAGCCAGTTTGGCTCAGTAGACAGAGCATCAGCCTGCGGACTGAAGGGTCCCAGGTTCAATTCCAGTCAAGAGCACATGCCTGGGTTGCAGGTTCGATTCCCCAGCCCCAGTAGGGTTGTGGCACATGTGGGAGGCAACCAATCGATGTGTCTCTCTCACATCGATGTCTCTCTCTCCCTTTTTCTCCCTCTCTGTGCCCCTTTCTTCCCTCTCTTCCATTCTCTCTAAAATCAATGGAAAAAATATCTTTGGGTGAGATTAACAACAATAACAAAAAACACACAAAAAGAGGCCAGACACAAAAGACCACCTGGTGTATAATCTCATTTATATAAAATGTCTAGAACAGGCAAATCCATAGAGACAGAAAGCAGATTAGTAGTTCTCATGGGCTGGGGGAGCAGGATGCAAAGTGATGGCTAATGGAATAAGGTTTCTTTTTAGAGTGATGAAAATGTTCTATAATTGTGGTGGTGGTGGTAGTTGTAGAACTGTGTGCATATACTAAAAACCACTGAATTATACAATTCAAATGGGTGAATTATATCTCAGTAAAACTGTTGATACAAAAACAAAACAAAAAGATGCCGCAGGCCCTCACCAGCACAGTAGTGGGTAGCAAAGGAAATGGAGCTGAGAGATGCTCAGGGCAGGATGGGGGAGGGAGGTGACGTGAACAGGACTGTGGGGGCTGAGGCTGAGCTGCTTTTGCTGCTTAAAACCAAACATAAACTGACCTGAGTGGAATAAAGGGCTCCCACTCCACACTGAGCCCTGACCCACAGCTGTGCCAGCAGGTGTGATGCGTGATATCCTGGCCTGACCCATCTGGGAAAAGGCAACAGGAATGAAAGGTAAACCTGTTTTCATAGAACTGTAAGAAAAATATACTGTTCTGTCCCTGACCAAGGAGCTGCCATCATTCTAGCCAGCTTACAAATGAGGCCCCCAAAGAACTGGGCTGGCCTGGCTAGAATTAGGCTTCCTCCCAGCTGGGGGCAGGGGGCCGGGGGGGAGGGGTCTATCAAGGTGCACATGTACCCAAGTGTCGTAAAGCTAGCAGGAGTACGCTGTTGGAGCCCACCAGTAGGAGCTCCAGGGGATCTCACCATGCCTGCCACAGACAAGAGGGGACAGTAGCTCCAGGACTTTAGATTGAATATCTGCAAAGACCCAATGGCTTTCTCAGAATTGGCTGGAAGCAGATGCCGGAGACCCAGTGACTGGTTTCCTTGGTAGTTAAATGACATTACAGCACCCAGATCCTCAGTGATCAGAATGCAAACCATAGCTGGCTTAGGCAATGTGGTGGGAAGGGAGAACCACTCAGGCTGGGTTAAGACACGAGGGAGAGAGAGAAACCAAGATGGCGGCATAGGTAAACACCGGAATTTGCTGCCTCGAACAACCACTTCAAAAATACAACTAAAAGACGGAACGGACATCATCCAGAACCACAGGAAGGCTGGCTGAGTGGAAGTTCTACAACTAGGAGGAAAGAGTAAAACATACAGAGACTCAGAGGAGGCGCAGTCCGGAAGTAAAATACTAAGGTGCGGAGTGCATGCGGAGCGGGCTGGCGGCTGAGGGCGTGGTTGTTGTTTTCAATCAGGAGGGAGTCTCAGACTCCCGGGTGAGTCTCTAGGGACCCAGACTCATACGGGAGAAGCGGGACTGTCTGGCATCGTTCAGAACCCTAGGGCAGCTTTCTCTCCATGGGGCTTGCAGCAATTACTGGGACACAGAGAAGCAGAGCCTCTGAGGGCAAGACTGAGAGCAGCCATAATTGCTAACCCCATCCTGTTGATCCCGTGGAACCCGCCCCGCCCAAGCCCTGCAGGGAGACTTTTGCTGGATAGCCTCAGGAAAAGGCTAGATTAACACCTCCCTAGAGATCCAGGAGCCAGGAAGCCCAGAGGTCAGAGTGGGACCATCCAGTTTGCAGCTCTGTGGAACCATAAAAGACACACTCAGGGGTAAGACTCAGTGAGCACCAAAGGCCCATTGAAGCAAGTCTTGCCCCAGAGGGGTGTCTCCAGCACAGAAGTTCTCCCACTGCAGACACAGCTGATTCTCATAGCCAATTGGCCTGGAGGTCAATCCCTCACAGTGATAACTACAACAATCAAGGCTTAATTACAGCAAGACTGTGCACAAAGCCCACAAGGGGGTACACCAAGAGTGTCTACCTCAGGTAATTGGGACACTTAGCACAGAAACAAACTCTATCGACACAGCGAAGCATAAAAAATGCCGAGACAAAGAAACAGGACACAAACGACAGAATAGGAGGAAAGCAAACTGCTGGATATAGAGTTCAAAACCACACTTTTGAGGTCTTTAAAGAACTGTCTAGAAGCTGCCGATAAACTTAATAAGGCCCTCGAAAAGACTGGTGAGACCGCCGATAAATGTAGTGAGATCTTCAAGAAGACTGGTGAGACCGCCGATAAATGTAGTGAGATCCTCAAGAAATCTAATGAGACCCTCAATGTTGTGATAAAGGACCAACTAAAAATTAAGCATACACTGACTGAAATAAAGAACATTATACAGACTCCCAACAACAGACCAGAGGATCGTAAGAATCAAGTCAAAGATTTGAAATACGAAAAAACAAAAAACACCCAACCGGAAAAGCAAAATGAAAAAAGAATCCAAAAATACGAAGATAGTGTAAGGAGCCTTTGGGACAGCTTCAAGCGTACCAACATCCGAATTATAGGGGTGCCAGAAGAAGAGAGAAAGCAAGATATTGAAAAACTATTTGAAGAAATAATGACAGAAAACTTCCCCTACCTGGTCAAAGAAATAGACTTACAAGTCCAGGAAGCGCAGAGAACCCCAAACAAAAGGAATCCAAAGAGGACCACACCAAGATACATCATAATTAAAATGCCAAGAGCAAAAGACAAAGAGAGAATCCTAAAAGCAGCAAGAGAAAGAAACTCAGTTACCTACAAGGGAGTACCCATACGACTGTAAGCTGATTTCTCAACAGAAACTTTGCAGACCAGAAGGGAGTGGCAAGAAATATTCAAAGCGATGAATGCCAAGAACCTACAACCAAGATTACTTTATCCAGCAAAGCTATCATTCAGAAGTGAAGGCCAGATAAAGAGCTTCACAGATAAGAAAAAGCTAAAGGAGTTCATCACCACCAAACCAGTATTATATGAAATGCTGAAAGGTATCCTTTAAGAAGAGGAAGCAAAAGAAAAAGGTAAAGATACAAATTATGAACAACAAATACACATCTATTAACAAGTGAATCTAAAAATCAAGGGAATAAATAATCTGATGAACAGTATGAACTGGCGATTGTAATAGAATCAGGGACATTGAAAGGGAATGGACTATTCTTGGGGGGGAAGGGGTGTGGGGTGAGGGAAGAGATTGGACAATAATCGTGCACCTATGGATGAGGACAGGGGGTGGGGAGTGAGGGTGGAGGGTGGGGTGGGAACTGGGTGGAGGGGAGTTATGGTGGGAAAAAAGAGTAACTAATGTAATAATCTGAACAATAAAGATTTAATTTTAAAAAAAAAAGACACGAGGGAGCCCTAGCTGGTTTGGCTCAATGGATAGAGCATCGGCCTGTGGACTGAAGGGTCCCGGGTTTGATTCCTGTTGAGGGCGCATGCCCAGGTTGTGGACTTGATCCCCAGTAGGGGTCGTACAAGAGGCAGCCGATCAATGATTCTCTCTCATCATTGATGTTTCTATCTCTCCCTCTCCCTTCCTCTCTGAAATCAATAAAAATATTAAAAAAAAAAAAAAAAGACATGAGGGAAGGAAGGCCAGCTCCACCACACCCCACCAAGAAATGAAAGGATAGAAGGTGAAGCAATGTGGGTACCTGGGTGGGATGGGGGGAGGGGCGGGGAAGAGGGGAGCGCTTTGTATCTAAGGTGAAAATCAGAGGGCATGGTGAGAATCAAATGACTGGATGAAGGTACAAACATGTAAAAAAATAGTCACTTCACCTATGAGGTGCTCTTATAAAAGCACTGAATATCAGCCCTGGCTGGTTTGGCTCAGTGGACTGAGGGTTGCAGGTTCAATTCTGGTCAAGGGCACATACCTCAGTTGCAGGCTCGATCCCCGTTCATGGTTGGGGTGCATGTGGGAGACAACCAATCCATGTGTCTCTCTCACATCTATCTTTCTCTCTGTCTCACCCCCTCCCTTCCATTCTCTCTAAAAATCAATGGGGAAAAAAATCCTCAGGTGAGGATTAAAAAAAAAAAAGCAATGAATATCAGAGGTAGGCCAGTCCCTGCCTTCCGACCCAGAACATTCCAGGAGACCATCTAAGGCTCAGTCCTCACTGCCAATATGCAGAGAGACTGAGAAACCAGAGAAGAAGGGTCTGGACACAGTAGAGTGTGAACCAATGAAAGTCCTAAAGCTGAGTAGACACACCCACCCCACCCTGTCTGCAGACTGCAGCTATGACAGAGGACATTTCTCACAGGGCCAGTGGACAGGCATCAAGTGCCATCCACCCAACGTCTCATAAAGTTCCAGCCCCTTGTGGGTAAATGCAGGGAATAGGTAGAAGGATTGTGAGCCTGACTTGGCTTCCCCTAGCCCAGACACAGGTCCCCATCGTAAGAGGTGGCCCAGAATAAACCAGCCACTCCTGTAGCACACACTGGGACCAAATGCTGGTCTCAGCTCTATGCAGAGCAGCCCATGCACTGATCCTCACTGCCAGCTAGAGATGAAGGCTGGGAAGCTAAGCCACCCATCCATGGTCACCAAGGTGGGATGTGGTGGGCTGGCATCCTGATTGCTCCACTGTGCTCCTCCTTCCCCCAGCTCTGAGTTCAAAGCACTCAAGAACCCCACGCAGAGCCAGTCCCAGCTCAGGGACCCACGGCCAACTCAAGTCCTCTCCGAGGGACAGTACCTTCTCTATGCATTCACACCTGGGACGTTGCAGGAACTTATGTCTCTTCAAGGGTGTAGTTCCTAGGTGCTGACCATTTTGCTCCTGGTGCAACCTCCCCTCTGCTCATTGAATAGCTAAGTTGGCCCCAAGTGAGTACTGAGCATGTGCCAGACCCCATGCTCCAGCCCCACAACCCAGAAGAGTACAACACTCATTACCAATGTCACACAAAGCCCAGAGACATTACATTAAGTAACTTGTCCAAAATCAAGCTACTAAGGAGAGCCGAGTTTGAGCCCAGGTAGTTAGACGATCACAGTCTCCGCCATCACCACCACCCACTAGGAAACACTCGGAGCAAAAACGTTCTAAGACAGTTAGAGGCCATTGTCTGAACCTCACAAATTCAGGCTGATTGAAAGAAACCAGACACAAAAGACCACATGTTGTACCATCCTATTTATATAAGATGTCCAGAACAGACAAATTCATAAAGACAGCAAGGCCGATGTGGCTCCGTGGTTGAATGCCAACCCATGAACCAGGAGGTCACGGTTCGATTCGCGGTCAGAATACATGCCCAGGTTTTGGGCTCAATCCCCAGTGGGGGACATGCAGGAGGCAGTCAATCAATGATTCTCTCTCATCAATGATGTTTCTACCTCTCACTCCCTCTCCCTTGCTCTCTGAAATCAATAAAAATATACTTATAAAAGTAAATAAAAATATTTTTAAAAAATCCATAGAGACAGAAAGCAGATTAGAGCCTTCCAAGGAAGGGGAAATGGGGAGTGACTACTAATGGTTATGAAGTAACTTTTGGGCCGAAACCGGTTTGGCTCGGTGGATAGAGCGTCGGCCTGTGGACTGAGAGGTCCCGGGTTCGATTCCGGTCAAGGGCATGTACCTGGGTTGCGGGCATATCCCCAGTAGGAGATGTGCAGGAGGCGGCTGATCGATGATTCTCTCTCATCGATGTTTCTAACTATCTCTCTCCCTTCCTCTCTGTAAAAAATCAATAAAATATATTTTAAAAAAAAAAAAAGAAGTAACTTTTGGGGTGATGAAAATATTCTAGGATTAGAGATGATGATTAGGCAACATAATATGCTAAGAACCACTGAATTATACACTCCAAAATAGTGAATTTTACATTACACAAATTGTATATCTCAATAAATTTTTAAAGCCCATCTATGATTATAGGGAACTTAATTCACTTGGAAATGCCCACAGAGCTCCAATTCCCAGTGAGTGCAGGGCCACTTTCCCCATGACCCCATCCTACCACCACTGACGAAACTCCCTGCCCTGCATTTGACACAGGACAACCTGACCAGAAGGTGCACCATGCTTACCTGCACCTCGTTCGTTTTCTGTCTGATGGCCTCTTCCTTTTCTCTAATGTCTTGTTCCAGTGTGTATTTCTCCCTGAGTGTTTAAAGATATTTCATGAAAGCACAAAGTAAGTTAACTGTCACCATAGTGCAGATTCTCCACCTGACTTCTCAAGACCCAATTCCAGCCCTAGCTGCTTTGGCTCAGTGGATGGAGCGTAGGCCTGAGGACTGAAGGGTCCTGGGTTCGATTCTGACACGGGCACATGCCCAGGTTGCGGACTCAATCCCCAGTGGGGGGCGTGCAGGAGGCAGCCGATTAGTGATTCTCTCTCATCATTGATGTTTCTATCTCTTTCCCTCTCCTTTCTTCTCTGAAATCAATAAAAATACATTAAAAAAAAAAAAAAGACCCAATTCCATCCATCCCTATGGAAACCCATGGAAGTCTAGGAATGACCCCAGGGACCATTTGCCCTAGGTCAGTGGTCGGCAAGCCGCGGCTCGCGAGCCACATGCGGCTCTTTGGCCCCTTGAGTGTGGCTCTTCCACAAAATACCACGTGTGGGCGCGCACGTACAGTGCGATTAAAACTTTGTGGCTCATGCGCAGAAGTCGGTATTTTGTGGAAGAGCCACACTCAAGGGGCCAAAGAGCCGCATGTGGCTCGTGAGCCGCAGTTTGCCGACCACTGCCCTAGGTGATTCCCTCACCTGAAAGCATGGGGAAAACCTGCGGATGGGATGAGGCATCACTCCCACTGTGGACATGCGAGCCCTTTAAAGCAAAGGATTTTCAAAGGGAGTCAGAGTGATGCCCATGGTGAGGAGGACTTTAAAGACTGATGTTTCGGGAGCGAAGGAGAACAAGCGAGCACCCTTGACCTTGGCTCTGTCAGACCCTGACCAGGGAGCCCAGACAAGCCCCTTGGGACTTCTGGTCCATAGAGCTGTGCATTAATAAATATGTGATATTTTAAGCTGTTTAATCTTCTTCAAATCCTATATTCACTCGCTCACTGAATAGAGAGCATCTACTGCTTGGAAGCACCGAGGGCTGAGGACCTGGGGACACACGACCAGAGGCTCCTACCCTCATGAAGCTCACAATCCAGTGGGAAGACAGGTGACAAATCATCGCACAAATGAATACATCTAAGGGCCACAAAGTAAACCCAACAGGATAAGGAAAGGAAAGTGCTCTTCAGGGAGGTGGTCTGTGAATGGCAGACATGGTGGAAGAACGTTCTAGACAACATGAAGAGGAAAGCAAAGCTTGGCTGGGGGAGCCATGGTGAGAAATTTGAAGATGCAAGTAGGGTGGGGTTTAGAGGCTGGCAGCAGAAAGTGGTAGTGACGCCCTAACTGGTTTGGCTCAGTGGATAGAGCGTCAGCCTGCGAACTGAAAGGTCCCAGGTTCGATTCCAGTCAAGGTCATGTACCTTGGTTGCAGGCACATCCCCAGAGGAGGTGTGCAGGAGGCAGCTGATCAATGTTCCTAGCTCGCTCGCGCTCTCTCTCTCTCTCTCTCTCTCTTCCTCTCTGTAAAAAATCAATAAAATATATTTTTTAAAAAGTGGTAGTGAGGCTCTCGGGTCCCAGGGCTGCCCCCAGCTAACCCCTAGCAGAAGGCTGTGGTTGGCCACTATACACACCAGGTGCTCAGTGGGGCCCTGCCTGTCTCCTCAACTGCACAGAGCTATCAACCCCTGGTGGCAGAAACCAGTCTCATTCTCCTCCTTATGGACTGAACGTTTGTGCCCCTCAAATTCATACGCTGAAACCCTAACCCCCAAAGTGATGGTAATAGGAGGATGGAGGAGCCCTCATGAACAGGATTAGGGCCCTTATAAAAAAGACCCCAGAGAGCTCCTTCATCCCATCTGCCATGTGAGGGCAAAGAGAGAAGATAGCCATCTATGAACCAGGAGGCAACCTCACCAGACACCAGACCTGCTGGTACCTTGATCTTGGAACCTCAAGAGGTAAGTGTCTATTTTTAAGCCCCACAGTCTATAGCAGTTTGTTGTACGCACTAAGTCACTCTTATTGTGCCCAAAGGGGCTGTCTCGGTGGCAGGAACATCACTGGCCAATGCACCCTGCCAGCACTTGCACAAGAAGGCCTTCTTTAGGACATTCTGCCATATAGGAAACAACGGTAACCATCTGAATATTCGTTTCCACAAGCCTAAGAACTACCTAACAATGTCCTTTTTAGACCCAACACATTATGACTGGATCACGTTGTAAAGGGAGAGGCAGCAGGTGTCGCCACAACCCCCACCAGCAACAGCTTGCTGAGTTCCTCTCAAAGCTGCCATCTGGGGCTGCTCCAGGCCCAGCCTCCTGTGGATAGATGCTCTTACTGGCCTCTCACCTTCAGAGGGAACACTCCTGGCTGTCAGAGGCTGCACATCTGTAGAGCTCCCCTGGCCTGACTTGGACACTGATGCCTCTCGTAAGACCCCAACCCTTGCATTATAGGACTCTATGCTCCTCCACCTGCTGTCCTGATTAACAGCCTGATGGGGCTCTAGGACACTGGCCTCCCCCTCAGACCCTCTCCGCCTTGCGAGGTTGATTGATCTCTGGTTTGGAGGACACAGCCCCTGGAACTAGGGGGAGAATGGGGGCCATCCTCTGGACTGAGCATGAAGGGGGAGTCTGGCTTCTGCAGGCAGCCCAGGCTCAGGCTTTGTGACCCACCCAACCAGTCCCACCTGACATCTGACCTGCCTTTGCTTTCTCAGGGCTCTGAGAGGGTTAGAAGCCACTCACACGTACCTCTGTAGCTGAGGGCCCCCAGCTGTGAGCGGAATCCAACCCACTCTGGCAAAATACTGCCATTTTATTTTTGTATAAATACAGGGTGTGACAAAAGTAGGCTTACAGTTGTTCCTATGGAAAATAATATAATCCTATATAATAAAAGCCTAATGTGCTAAGTATCTGGTCATCTGGTTGGCCGTTCAGCCAATCAAAGCGTAACATGCTAATGATATGCTAAGGCCACTCAACTGCTCACTGTGACGTGCACTGACCACCAGGAGGCAGACAGATGACCAGTTGACCAGTCGCTATGACATGCACTGACCACCAGGGGGCAGACGCTCTGACCGGCAGGTTAGCTTGCTGCTGGGGTCCAGCCAATCGGAACTAAGCAAGAGGAGCCAGACACACCCTGGAGCCCTCCCGCTGTCCCTCCACAGCTGGCCAATCTCCCATGTCCCTCCCTGGCCCTGAGCGTGCACTGGTGGGGTCCCTCGGCCTGGCCTGCGCCCTCTTGCAATCTGGGACCCCTCGGGGGATGTCGGAGAGCTGGTTTTGGCCCAAAGGTGGAACAACCAGTTGCTATGACACGCACTGACCACCAGGGGGGAGACGCTCAACATAGGAGCTGCCCCCTGGTGCTCAGTGCACTCCCACAGGGGGAGCACCACTCAGCCAGAAGCCGGGCTCATGGCTGGTGAGTGCAGTGGCAGTGGCGGGAGCCTCTCCCACCTCCGTAACAGCGCTAAGGGTGTCCGACTGACGGCTTAGGCCCACTCCCTGTGGGAAGCGGGCCTAAGCCGCCAGTCAGACATCCCCCAAAGGCTCCCAGACTGTGAGAGGGCACAGGCCAAGCTGAGGGACCCCCACAAGTGCATGAATTTCATGCACCAGGCCTCTAGTAAGTAATAATACAAGAGTAAAATCTGTTTTGCATACTCATAACTATAAACCTACTTTTGCCCCATCCTATAAGTGCTCTCTTTCCCATGGAGGGGCAAAGTGCTTCTGGCCCTTCTGCTCACTGTCCCTAAGTAAGGAAAGTGCCCCCTTTCCCAGAATTAACTAAAAAGAGGATGCAGCCAAAACCGGTTTGGCTCAGTGGATAGAGCGTCGGCCTGCGGACTGAAAGGTCCCAGGTTCGATTCCGGTCAAGGGCATGTACCTGGGTTGCGGGCATATCCCCAGCGGGGGATGTGCAGGAGGCAGCTGATCGATGTTTCTCTCTCATCGATGTTTCTAACTCTCTATCTCTCTCCCTTCCTCTCTGTAAAAAATCAATAAAAAATATTAAAAAAAATAAAATAAAAAATAAAAAATAAAAAAAAAATAAAAAGAGGATGCAGCCTGGCTGGTGACCTGTTCAGTGGTTAGAGCGTTGGCCCTCAAACTGAAGGGTCTCAGGTTCAATTCCTGGTCAAGGGCACATACCTGGGTTGCAGGTTCAAGCTGCAGCCCCGGTCAAGGTGCATGCGGGAGGCAATCAATCGATGTGCCTCTCTCACATTGATATCTCTCTCTCTCTCTCACTCCCTCCCTTGCTCCCTCCCCCTCTCTCTCCCACTCTTTAGAAATTAAATAGAAAAAATATCTTCCAGTGAGGATTAACAAAACAAAACAAAACAAAGAGGATGCAGTTCTGAAGAGGAACACAGGGACCTACAGGAAGTGGGCATATTTCTTTATGCCAGACTCTGAGAGTGCAACGCCCTGTCCAAAGCCTTCATTCACATGTGGGGAAACCCAGGAATGGAGCTGGAGACCTGGACGTGAGGCCCCTCTAACAGTTTAGCTGTCAATCCTAAGCCATTAACTTGCCACCTGAGTCACAGTCACTTTATGTGTCAGAGATAACAAGGCCTTTGGGGAAGGTGGAGGGAGGTGCTGGTGCTGCCTGGTTACCACCTGCCTGAGACCCCACAGCCCACTGGCTCCAACTGAAGACTCATATACTCAAGCTCATTAAGTCACTTCAGAAATGCAGGAGAATTTGTGTCCCTTTACTTCTGCTGAACACACTAGTGGTGGTCACTTTCCAGGAGTTTTTGAACCTCTCTCCAATACTTCTGATAGCGACCTGGGGTAGGTTTGTGTGAGATTCGGAATCTGAGGGGAAGAAGCCACTCTCACATACCTTTGTAGCTGGGCGATCTCTTGACTGATATCATCCAGTTCCTTCACACCAGTGAATTCCCCTGACCCAAGAGAACTTGAGCTGTCCTGGAACCAAATTCAGACACTCTTACATATTACCACACTGAACTCACCCCACAGCAGGGACTAGTAGGTCTTAGAATGAGGGATAATATCATCTATGTCTCCCCCAACCCCCAGGCCTGAGAACTAACAGGGCATCCAGACACACCAGAGACCCGTGGGGAAGACTCACACAGGCTGCCAGCGCCACCTGGTGGCGGGCTGTGAGAGAGATTCAAATACGACAGGGGTGTGCCAGTGGCTACTCACCGGGATAGGGGTGCCTCTCTCTGAGGGTGGGACCATGTCCGGCGAGAGGACCTGAGGGGGGTCGATGCCTTTACTGACCTTCTGCTGAATGAAATACATAGCTAATGCGAATTGGTCTTTGCTTAACTTTCCCGTTTGCCTCGTATCGGCCAGGGCCCTGGGAGAAATGTGGGACGCTAATTACACATCACAGACTTCAGATTCAGGATTCACCCGGAGCAGTGAGTACCAGTCATGGGACCCATGCTTTTAAAAACTGGATAATGATGATAAAAACAACAGGCCATAGTGCAAAGCCTTTTCTACTAAACATCCTACTCTGGCGATCAGTCCTGGCCTCCCACCCAGACACTGGTCAAGGAGGGGCTGGGGGCAGGAGGGGACTCCCTCCTGGCTATTTATCGTATACTGGTGGTGGACACAACGGTCCAGGACAGAGCAGTCCTTCCTATGGAAAGGAAGCTGGGCAAATGAGCACTCAGATCTTCAGCCAATTCCTGCAGCCCTGGGCCACTTAACGGCCTGGGACACTGGCTTTCAATGGAGACAACGGCAGCAGCATTTTGGGTCGTCATATAAGGGGACGGGGCCTGAAAAGCCCAGTAAGGCTATGCTGCACAGGACAGTCCCTCCCTGCTGAGGTGTCACTGCCCACATGGCCGTCTGCTGTCCTGGCAGACAGGCAAGGCAGCACATAAGCTCCATGACACCTCAGGAACCAGGAGCTGGCTGCTACGGGAAGGGAAGCCTTTCATGGTAAGGACTTGGCCTCCACGTCTTCCAGAAAAGTCTTCCCTTCATTCAGTCACTGCCCACTCAACATGTAGCCTCTTTCCCACTGCGCGGAATCACTGCAGAAATGAAATCATTGTCTAACGCACAGCAAAGAGAGCTGGGAATGTTGAGCAAACTCAGGCCCAAACATTGTCTGTGAACATGGCCAGAGGGAGCATGGGAGCATGGAGACGGCTGAAAGTCGCTAATCAAGGCTCATTTTAAAGTCTTTGTTCCGTCACAGTTTGAGGGCACGATTTCACACTGCAACTACTTCTCGGTCTGCCTGGGGGCCAGTCCTGCTGCACACCGAGCCCACAGCAGCTCAGGCTGTGCTTCTCTCCAGCACCTCCCATCTCTCAAGGATCGCGGGCTCCAAGGCCACGTGTGGCTGCTCTGTCAGGTCCATGCTGGTCCTGACACTGTGCTGACTGATCCGGCACTAGGTGCTGTTAGGGGAAAGGCCTAGCCCCTGTTTCCCCTCTGCAACCCGTCTGGCCCTGTTCTCTCCTTTCAGTTACATCCCCTTCCACTGTCACCTGCAGACTAACCTAGACTGTTGTCTCACTTTGCTAGCGGTGATTCTAGAACTCACACAGTATGCCCTTTCCCTTCACTCCCTATATGCAATCCTCTGCATTCCTTCTTTAATCCCAAAGGATTTATGCTTTGTGTCATTTACATGTTGTTACACCACTTACAGGTTGGGGTATATGGTATAAATTTCTTCCCTTGCATTGTCCCTTTAAGTAATGATCGGGGCCTTTGACTTCTGTGTACGTCCATTTCAAGTGATAAAGGAGATGTGTTTATTGGTTTCTACAAAGGGACACTGGATCTGAAGGGGCTGCTGCTGGACCTCCCTCAGCTGGTTTGTGACTAACTTTGGGTGTCATGTGTTCCTGAGGATGGCATGGCCCACTTCCTGGGCAGAGGCCTCCCTTTACAACATGGAATTACTGCTCTACTTGGAGGACTCACTTCTCCAGAATTACATGAAGATTCTCTCCTTATAACCCCAAGTGAAACTCCCGAAGGTCCTGAGCTCTGAGGACAAAGCTAAGAAGTGACTTTCAACACTGGCCAGTTACAAAAAGAGCCACCCCAGTGATGTGAACATTGCTCTGGCTGGCCCCAAAGGGAAGTGGGAGTGAGCCCTGCTCTTCAACCCAGCCCTGAGGTGCAAACCAGTCTCACCAACAGTATGCCCAGTCACTGTCCTGCAAAGGGCACCGTCTCTAGGGCAGACAGCTACAATCTCCACCGCCCAGATCTGCCCTGCTGGAGCCTTGGGGGTTCTTATTGCATATTCCCCGACAGGTGGCCAAGTGCTTCCATCCCAAAAGACTGTGATGAAGGCTGACCTCCCGCTCAGCATAATCACTAGCAGGAACTGGTCTAAGCCATTCAAACAGGTCACCCCAGAGCTCTCTAGGGGGGCAGGACAGGAGACCCACCTGCTGGAGGAAAGTGAACAGAAAAGCACGAAATACAGGGTACAGGCCTTTATACCTATACCTTGCTCAGCCCCCATCAGCCTGGTGAGAATAAAGTAAGGGACAGACACAGAGGCCATTGAGGGCTGAGGAGGAACCCTGACCATCCCTGACTGCCACACCCTCCAGCCCTACTTATCCCTCTGGCCCTTCCTATGGCACAGCCTCATTTCCACGGGGCCCCTTTGAGCCACCCACAGCCATTATTATCTTCCACAGAGTGAGGCCCAAATAAATATTAAGGAGCTGATATCCGTCTATCTGTCCTTACCATATGTGTGCTAGAAGGTTCTGGTTGAGGCCAGAGTGCATGAAGATCTCCTTCACCTCCTGGCCGCTCACATAGCCATCCAGGTCCAGGTCGGTCTTCAGGAAGATCTCATCAAAGCGCATCTTGTCTGCCACTGGCACCACCCAGTTTACTGTTGGCTGAAAGGTGGTTTTTGTACAATGGTTAATCCTCAAGCTTTTCAACACCTACAAATATACACTATTAAAGTGTTTTCACGTGTATTTTAGCAGAAAACCTTCCTCAGGACCCAATGAGCCAAGAGGGCGGACAGGATCCCTGTATGTAAAGAGGGAAACTGAGACCAAGAGAGCTCACTGCCAAGTCGGTCCGTCTCACCCAGTGGCCAGCCGGTACCCTGCACCCATCACAGCACCACTCTCCCCTCGCGCTGAGAGGGAGGTAAAGACCCAGCAGGTCTGTCCACCAACAGCTCTTCCACCCCCACGGCCAAGGGCATGCCAGTGATGTTCCAGAAGAGGCTTCAAATGTGTTGGGCAAGACCCTTCTGACCACCTACAGGAGACGGGAGATGGAGGGCCTGTCTCCTAAGAACTGGCCCAGCTCTCACACCAGCCTTCCTGTCTGCCATCTTCTGTCTGCAAACCCTTCCCTGCAACTGCCAGGCGTGTCTCAATGCCCACAGTGCCAGGATTCTGTACTCCATCCTCTGTCCCTGCCCTGACTCTATGTGACACAGGAGTGCTCCTATGAGGTATCGGCATGTGCACAGCCCTGATGGGGGGCCTCTGACGAGCATGCCCAGGCCTCTCGAGGGAGAGCATTCTGGCAGACCAATGCAGTGCGACTTTGACATCTGTGGAGCTTGGCCTTTCACACAGCCTGTTCAAGTTTACTCAAGAAGGACAAGTGCGCCCTAGCCGGCTTGGTTCAGTGAATAGAGCATCGGCCTGCAGACTGAAGGGTCACGGGTTTGATTCCAGTCAAGGGCATGTGCCAGGTTGCGAGCTCGATCCTCAGTATGGGGCATGCAGGAGGCAGCTGATCAGTGATTCTCTCTCATCATTGATGTTTCTTTCTCTCTCTCTCTCCCTCCCTCTCCCTTTCTCTCTGAAATCAATAAAATAAATAAATAAATAAATAAATAAATAAATAAATAAATAGGACAAATGCCACCAATAGTGCACTAGGGCCCACGCGACTCCTAATTCAGGGGCTTCAAGGCCCCTTGGATGCTTGGGAATAGGCCTCTTCGATTGCTAATTCTGGATGTGTCACCTCTGACCTTCAGCACTCCCATGGCACCAAGTGCCACAACATGGCAGCCCCTTTCTCTAGAGAAGTGTCTCTTCATCTGCCTTTCCTAATAGCCCCCTTCAGTGCCCCAATCCAGCAGCACCCGGTGCAAGCACCAGGAGCCCACAGAGCGAGGCTGGGAAGCCGGGCGCCACGTGGCCCAGGCTGTTTCAGTCGGGGCTTCGGGTAATGACTTGGTGCAGCCAGGGACTGGTCAGAGACTCTTCAGGAGCTATGGGCCCAATCCAAGAAGCAAGGGCTCCAACAGAGAAGCTTCCAGCAGCAAGACAGACCTGCGTTTTATTTGCTACCTGATGTGACTTGCAGGCTGCTTCCCATCTGCTGTGGGACGGGGTCAGAAGAGATGTGCATACAGGAGCTCTAGTGAAGAAGAGGCTTGCTGTCTTAAGTGACTGGAGCAAACTACACCTCAGATGCCAAGAAACCCAAGGAAAAAGTCACAGCGGGCCAGACAGGCTGAGCTGAGGGGAGAACGGTTTCTGTCTGGGACAACAGAAGTCCTGACGTTTGCTGCACAAACAGAATAACCTTGCTGCCTGATTTCTGGGGTATCGGGGCATGTCAACAGCAAAATCCCGATGCCTGCTTGGCGACAAATCCATACAGGACAGACTTCCCCTAGAACTGGGTTTAAGCTGGCTCTGTAGCCGCAGGCCCCCAGTCAATGGGAATAGAACCTAGTGGCTGGAAGGAGCCTCACCCCAAATCTGGCCATGAACAGAAACAGGTGGCCCTTGGGGAAGTCCCAGACGGGGCATCACTAACCTGCAGATGAGAGAAGTGGGGGAGAGGGAGCATGGTGACTGTGGGTCCCCCAAAATGCTCATTCTTGTATCTGATTCCTCCAGTTGGCCCTATTCCTGAAGGGGACACACCCTCCCACTTTTGAACCTAATGGCCACTGGTAAAATCAGTCTAGTTTAAGAACTCTTGGCAAGCCCTGGCTGGTGTTGCTCAGTAGTTAGAGTGTTGGCCCACGCACCAAAGGGTCTCGGGTTCAATTCCCAGTCAAGGGCACGTGCCTGGGTTGCAAGTTTGATCCCCAAACCAGTGGGGCATGTGCGGGAGGTAACCAATCAATGTATCCCTCTCACATATCTATCTATCTATCTCTATCTGTCTCTCTCTCTCTCTCTCTCCTCCCTCTCCCCCCACCTTCCACTTTTTCTAAAAATAAATGAAAAAAATATCCTCAGTGAAGATTAACAACAACAAAAAAGAACTCTTAGCAAGAATTTAGCAGACTAAAGGAGATGCTGGGTTTCTTAGAAAACAACAGCTTGTGCAGGTCTAAGTGACCAGCCTCAGCCCCTCTCTTTGTCCCCACCCTATTATCCCCTTGCTCACCCTGCCCTGGCCTGCTCCCTGTTTCTAGAACATACTAAGTGCTCCCACTTCAGAGCCCTGGAGCCCTGGCAAACTAGTCCTCTGATGGCTTCTTGTCATGCAGATTTTAGCTCAGACATCATCCTATCAGTGACTGTCCAGCTGGCCCCACCTGCAGAAGCATGCACTCCTATTCACCCAGACACTTCTAGGCCAGGCCCAGTCCTGGTTTCTCATGGCTGTCAGACCTTCCTTAGTTTATTGATTTACCTATCATTTGCCTTCCCATTAGGGAAGAGGCCTATCCCACAGTCACTGTGGCACCACCCAGGGCCTCCAAAACACGCTGGGCATGGCTGGAGAGCTACTAAAGATATCTGGCTGGGCTCTCCAGACCAGTGATGGCGAGCCTTTTGAGCTCGGCGTGTCAGCATTTTGAAAAACCATAACTTAACTCTGGTGCCGTATCACATATAGAAATGTTTTGATATTTGCAACCATAGTAAAACAAAGACATATTTTTTCTATTTATTTTATATATTTAAATGCCATTTAACAAAGAAAAATCAACCAAAAAAATGAGTTTGTGTGTCACCTCTGACACGCGTGTCATAGGTTCGCCATCACTGGTCTAGACACTGGGCTTCTTAGCAGACAGCCATGGAAATCTGACCAACCAGAGGTTCACAGCTGTGGGCCATACCCTCCACCTGGCCAGGGCACTTACAGGAGCTGCATTAGCCTTGTCACCGAGCCACTGGCCCTCTCTCATCTCTTTTTTTTTACTCTAGGGTGCAAAGCTGTGTTCTACGAGCTCCTTGAAAACGAGCCTCCTGAGTCAGAGGTTTAACTTTATAAATATGTTATGAGCAAGAGAAATTGCTGTCTGATTATGCACTTCCCATTTTCATCATATTATGAAGTTGCACTGTGGTGCTGGCTGGCCTGTTGGTTACATTCATTGCTTTGCCTATGAAACCACAAATGAGGCAGAAAGCGAAGCATGATTCCAGATGTAACTCAGCTCGAGTTCTCACATATTTTAGACAATCTCAAAGGTATTCTTTTATAAAGATGCTTGATTTGCCAGAACAAAAAACATTTATATATATGATGCTACTGTGCGTGCAGAGTCTGAGCCCCCATGTGTCTTTCTAACATGAGATGGACGCTCTCACTCACCTCATCATTCAACATACACTCACTGAGCATCAAAGTACCAGAGATTGTTCTAAACCAGGGGTCCTCAAACTTTTTAAACAGGGGGCCAGTTCACTGTCCCTCAGGCCGTTGGAGGGCCGGACTATAGTTTAAAAAAAAAAAACTATGAACAAATTCCTATGCACACTGCACATATCTTATTTTGAAGCAAAAAAACAAAACAGGAACAAATACAATATCTGTACTTGCATGTGGCCGGCGGGCCGTAGTTTGAGGACCCCTGTTCTAAACAGTGAGATTATAACCAAGACCTGAGTCTGCTCTCATGAAGCTACAAGGTGTGTGTGTAAACAACCCATACATAACTCACTACATTCCCAGGTATGAGACTCTAAAAGAATGTGGGGTAGCCCTGGCCAGGTATCTCAGTTGGTTAGAACATCGTCCTGATATGTCAAAGTTTCAGGTTCGATCCCCAGTCAGGGCACACACAAGAATCAACCAAAGAATGCATAAATAAATAAATGGAATAATAAATCAATGTCTCTCCCTCCTCCCCCTTTCCTCTCTCTAAAAATCAATTTAAAACATTTAGATAGCCGAAACCGGTTTGGCTCAGTGGATAGAGCGTCGGCCTGCGGACTGAAAGGTCCTAGGTTCGATTCCGGTCAAGGGCATGTACCTGGGTTGCGGGCACATCCCCAGTGGGAGATGTGCAGGAGGCAGCTGATCAATGTTTCTCTCTCATCGATGTTTCTAACTTTCTATCTCTCTTCCTTCCTCTCTGTGAAAAATCAATAAAATATATTTAAAAAAAAATTTAGACAAATGTAAAGCAGAGGGAGGAAAATGGCTGAGTGAGCAGGACCTGGGGATTGCTGGGTAATGGTGTGGTCATGATAGGCTCCCTGATGAGGTGTTCCATGAGTAGGAGGCTCACTAAGCAGGTGCCCCAGTGCAATCTGGGGATACCCCTCCCAGCAGAGGGACTGCCTGAAGCAGGAGTGGCAGAGAACTGAGGAGAGGGCCTGCTGGGAGGTTACTGGGTGTGTCTGAGGAAAGGTAATATTTATATGCAAGTGAATGAGAAAATTAATTCTCAGTCCCTGTTGCTATAGTCTGAATGTTTGTGCCCCCCTAAATTCATACGTTAAAATCCTATCCCCCAATATGGTGGGGTTAGAACATGGGGCCTTTGAAAGGTAATTAGGTCATGAGGGTGAAACCCTCATGAATGGGATTAGTGCACTTATAAAAGGAACCCAAGAGAGTTCTCTAGCCCCTTCCACCATGTGAGGACACAGCGAGAAAATGGCTGCCTGTAAACTAGAAAGCCCTCATTATTTGCCCAATCTGTCCATGCCTTGGAAGCTTCCAACCTCAAAACAATGAGATATAAATGTCTGTTGTTTATAACTACCTAGTCTATGGTATTCTGTTACAGCAGCCCAAATGGACTAAAATACCTGCCACAAATATTTTTAATTTAAGCATAATCATTGCCATTTGGGAGCACAAAGTACTTGCTCCCAAGAAACATCTTGCTGGGCCTTTCCACATGAAAATGGCTGTGCTGAGAAGTGGCCATGTACACGGAGGGCACCATACCTGTGTTTGCTTGATACTGTGCTTGGGAGACAAGCTTCCTGTGCTGTTTAGGCTGCTGACGCTGCCATGGGAAGGCGTGGAGCGGAGGCTGTCTTTAGGCGGGGGGCTAGCGGGCAGGACAGGCACGGCCCCTGGGAACACTGTCTTCTTTCTCTTGGTGGGTGGGATGAGGGACGGGGGCAGGACGGAGGGCACGGGCTCCTTCTCAAGGGCTCGGTACACCAAGTGCATGGCCTGTAAATGCAGAAGAGAATCACGTTCCGGTGTCAGGACAAGGGCGGACAGAAGGCAGCTCTATCAGGGGCTTCAGTGACAACACAAAGATCATTCTTTATATATATATATATATATATATATATATATATATGCGTGCGTGTGTGTATGTGTGTGCGTGTGCGTGTGTATGTTTTTTATTGATTTCAGAGAGGGAGGAGAGAGAGAGAGAAACATCAATGATGAGAGAGAATCATCAATTGGCTGCCTCCTGCATGGCCCCTATTGGGGACCGAGCCCACAACCCGGGCATGAGCCCTTGACAGGAATTGAACCTGGGACCCTTCAATCCACAGGCTGACGCTCTATCCACTGAGCCAAACCGGCTAGGGCCAAAGATTGTTCTTTTTGAGGTCACTTCTAAGCTGAACAGAATAAAAAAAAAACCTCTTCTAATAAGCTATACTTCCATTGTAAAAGTTTCCAAGGCATTTGTAATTGTGATACTGAATGAATACAAAAGGAAGTCGATCATGCCAAACTCCACACGTCCCTTCACCACACAGGAGGGCCAGGGCTGACAACTCACAAAGTACTGGAATTTGAAAGTCTAAAGACACACCACAAGAGCTGCGTTTACTTCAAGATATTCCGGAGACTCAGAAAACTACAGAAAAGGGTGCTGTGCCCAGGACAGGTGGCTCTCCTGTTTCAGGCAGGTAGGAAATGGAAACTTTGTCTAAAACAAAGATTAAAAGATTATTTCAAAATGTAACAAGACCAAACCACATTTACAATGCTCCTCACTTCAAAATATTCTTTAAGTTGCTATTTGCATAGAGAACAGATCCTTAACACAGGTAGGTCACTAAAAAACGCAACAAAATGTTACACCCAGCTGGTGAATAAAATAAACACACAAAATGACACAATTCTAAGACCCATTTATAAAAGAACATAAATCTTGGCTAACATGATAAGAAATGACAAAAACAAAACAAAAAGGGCCCAGCTGGTGTGGCTCAGCGGTTGCGCATTGACCCATGAACCAGGAGGTCACGGCTCGATTCCCAGTCACAGCACATGCCCGGGTTGCAGGCTTGATCCCCAGTAAGGGGTGTGCAGAAGGCAGCCGATCAATGATTCTTTCTCATCATTGATGTTTCTATATCTCTATCCCTCTCCCTCTCTCTCTAAAATCAATAAAAAACATTAAAAGAGAGAGAGAGAGGGAGAGGGAGGGAGAGAGAGAGAGAGAGAGAGAGAGAGAGAGAGAGAGAGAGAGAGAAAGAGAAACTTGGGGCTCGTGAAGCTGTGAGAAGAAAGAGGCCCATTCCAGGTTCACTCCGGGCCAATTACCCCATTCCTGAGGACCACTCCAAGGACGCTTCAATGATATGAACACTTTAAGTCGTGCAGGCAAAAGAAATATGAAAAAATAAATAATGAGGGAGCAAGGGGAGGAGACTGGGGAGTTTCATGTTTAATAAGGGCAGGGTTTCAGTTTTGCAAGATGTAGAGAGTTCTGGAAATGGATGGAAGTGGGGATGGCACAACACTGTGAATGTACTTAATGCCACTGATTTGGACACTTAAAAATTATTAAGATGGTAAACTTTATGTTATATTTTACTATACAAAATAATAATAATAATAATAATAATAATAATAATAATAATGGACAACCAGTAAAAACAATAGGATGGAGAAACATGGAAAATGCTCAAAGTAAAAAGGCAGAACAGAGTTGACATGAGTGGAGAAAACACAACTGAATACTTGTTAAGTGTAGGGCAGGGGTGGGGAAACTTTTTTCTGCCAAGGGCCATCTGGATAACTATAACATCATCTGTGAGCCATACAAAATTATCAACTTAAAAATTAGCCTGCTGTAGGACTATCCCTATTAACTTTCTTTTATGTAAATAATTTGTGAGTTTCTGAAAAACTTGCTTTTGCTTATTTAATTTTGAATAAAAGCTAAATTCATAATACAAAAAAATTAGCTTGCTATATTTGGTCAAACCTTTAATTAACTCACCCCCAATGCCTTGGCAGGGCCAGACCAAATCATTTCATGGGCCTTATATGGCCCTCAGGCAGGACGTTCCCCACTCCTGGCGTAAGGGATTATGAAGGGGGATGGTAAGAGAAATCTGTAATTCCCTTGTAAAATGGTTTAGATTTAACCTAGAAGCTTAAAAGCTCAAAGGCTTTATACACATAATAAAGATAGGAAGACACTTCAATTCATGTATATGTTGTGAAAATCACATTTTAAAGATATTTAAAATTCCTAGAACAGAGGGATATGGTTGGGTATTCCCAGATAATTCACAATTGTGGTGTTTTTTTTAATTTGTTCTTTGGGGACGGGGGGGGGGGGGGGACCTTTGAACTTAATTACTCTTTATTAAAGCCTTATCCTTAACTACAAGGGACCACTTTATTCTTTGTTTGAGATGTAATGGAATGAGGTAAGTGAATAAATCCTATGAATGGGAGGAAGGTCCAACATGGGGATGAGGTGGAAGGGAGAGAGAAGAGGAGGGACAGACTGACAGGGGCACAGGATGAAGAGGGCAGGCTCAAGGAGAGGTCAGCCCAGCCCACCGGGCAGCTGAAGAAGCGGATAGGTCGCTGCAGGGCTGTGCAGAGAGGGCAGCTATATGGGAAGGTAGCGCATAGGACAGAAGAGCCTTATCTGCACACAGTTCCACTGCTGTCACTAAAAGAAGAGGGTGAGAGTGCCTGGGTTTAGGCCCAGACAGAAGCCGACGTGGAGCAGGAGCACCCCAGGGGTACTGAGCACCCCAGTGCCCAGATTTTGGTTTCCAACAACATTCTCCACTACAAGGACTGGGACGCCCTGGAAAAAGGGCTGACTGGGGGAGCCAGGAGGGTCTTATTGTGCCATGAGGAAACAACTGGTCAGAGAATGATGGGATGTGACCAGAGGACAAAGGAGTCAACTGGGAAGAGCTCCCACTGGGCAAAATAAGTCAGGCCAGTAAAGGATTACAAACCGTGAAGCAGAGGACGCATCCATAGTCCACTCTGATAGAAACAAATTCCTGATGGTAGAAGGCTAGCTAGAAAATGCGCAAGGAATGATGGAATTACAAGATCCCCACCTGCAACCACCAGAATCCTAACTGATGGAGTCAAGACTCCTGGGAGGATGGGAGGACGAGCAGGTGAGAATCAGAGGGGTATCAGGGTGTTCAGTCTCCATGTGTCTCTCACAAGACACTGAACACGAAGAAAAAGAGTAACTATAGCAGCCTCCACCCTGACCTCAATCAAGAATTGACACTATCGCAATGACATGTAATAAGACATCACACGTTCTAGAGATGACTTACCATAAGACATCACATGTCCTATGGATACCCCAGGAGAACACATATCCCATAAAAGTGCATGGCCTGGATCATCAGAGAGAAGAAGAGACAACCCCATACTGAGGGACACTCTACAAATGCACTCTTCAAATGCCCATGTGTGCCATGGGACATGAAGATAGAGCTGCCCCAGATTAGAGGACACAAAAGAAACAGGGTTACAGAACAGAACATAGCAGGCTGGAGTCTCTTTAACTACAATGGACATTTTGCGGAAAATTGGCAAAAATATGAATAATATCCTTAGATTATATAGATGATATAATATAGTAAATATAGCCTGGCTGGTATAGCTCAGTGGTTGAGTGTCAACCCATGAACCAGGAGGTCAGGGTTCAATTCCAGGTCAGGGCACACGCCCAGGTTGTGAGCTCAATCCCCAGTAGGAGGCTTACAGGAGGCAGCCAATGAATGATTCTCTCTCATCATTGATGTTTCTCTCTCCCTCTCCCTTCCTTTCTCTAAAATCAATAAAAATATTTAAAATATATATATATAGTAATATATAACTATAATAATAATTACTATGATAAATAATTTCAAAGCTCATTTCCTGGTTTTAAAATGGAAAATGGTGCCGAAACCGGTTTGGCTCAGTGGATAGAGCGTCGTCCTGCGGACTGAAGGGTCCCAGGTTCGATTCCGGTCAAGGGCATGTACCTGGGTTGCGGGCACATCCCCAGTGGGAGATATGCAGGAGGCAGCTGATCGATGTTTCTATCTCTCTATCTCTCTCCCTTCCTCTCTGTAAAAAATCAATAAAATTTAAAAAAAAAAAAAATGGAAAATGGTTATGTAAGAAAATTCCTTGGTTTTAAGAAACACACACTTAAGTATTTTGGATTTAAAAGGTATAGCATCTGTAACTTACTCTAAAATGGTCCAAAAGAAAATCCATGGATGTGTACACATATATACATTTACTCATAGAGAGAGAGGGAGAAAGGGAGGAAAAAAAGATAAATGTGGTAAAATAGAATCTGAGTGAAGGGTGTTTACTATAACTTTTCTTTAAATCTAAATTATCCTATATAATAAAAGATTAACATGCAAATCGACCGAACGGCGGAACAACCGGTGCTCTGATGCACAGTGACCACCAGGGGGCAGATGTTCAATGCAGGAGCTGCCCCTGGTGGTCAGTGTGCTCCCACAGGGAGAGCGCCACTCAGCCAAAAGCCGCGCTCACGCCTGGCGAGCGCAGCGGCCGTGGTGGGGCCGTGCTAAGGATGTTTCAGGGAGCGGGCCTAAGCTGACAGTCAGACATCCCTCAAGGGCTCCCGGACTATGAGAGGGTGCAGGGTAGGCTGAGGGGAGCCCCCCACGCCCACCTGAGTGCACAAATTTTGTGCACTGGGCTTCTAGTATCTAAATAAACATTTTTAAAAATTAAAGAAAAAAATAAGTCCAGAAACCTTCCCCACACCATGAGAGGCACAACAGAGTGAGGAAAGAGAGTCACAGTGGGGGCCTACCACAGCAAACTCATCTCTGTCCAGATGTCCATCCTTGTCAATGTCACTGAGGTCCCAGACCTGCAAGGAAAAGAACAGCAAGGCTTACTGGAGGGTGGGACGTACCAAGGCTTACTAGGGGAGGAAGGGCTGGTGTGCAGCAAGAGAGCCCACCAGAACTCAGATTCTGAGTGCATGCTGGAGTTAAAACAAGGCAATCAAAATGCATTAAGAACCAATCTGCAGATTCTCTGAAAAACCATCATCCAATGAAGTATTATGAGTTCCAAGAACCATTCTGTCATATTATATTCATGATTTTCTCTAACAAATGATCATGATTGTAATCACATCCTCCCTGATTTTTTTCTTTATCACCTCACAAAGAAATCTTAGCTAGAAAGATAGTTTTTGGCACAAGTGTTGCTCTAAACATAAGATGACCCCCACCCCCACCCCACCCCCACCCCACCCACACAGTCGTGGGCATGTGGTCGAGCAGGTCTGTGGTGTCTCATCTCCTCTCCCATCAGTAGATAGTGAGTCAGGTGCTAGGCTTGTGCTAGGCTTACCTAGAACCTGAAGACCAGGCAGACAGGTATGAGTTCCTAGAAAAAGGCCACGTGCCAGATTTTTTAAAGCACAACTGAGGCAATGACCCAAGTTAGCTCTCCACCCTGCTGTGTCCTTGGCTATGACCTCTCAAACATTCCAGAGGCCAGAGCCTCCAGCTGGCCTCCCTGCCTTTAGTACTATCCCCAGGGTAACTACAGGGACTGCTCTAGAACAAACTCTGACACTACCATGCTCTGCTGACAACTCCTCAGTCTGGCACACGGAGTCCCCAGTACCCTTAACAGGTCCTGCACCCCAGGCCAGCCTCCTGGGACCCCACCTTGAACTCTAGGGACACCAGAGTATTCATAGTCCCCTCAAGCATAGGCATGCCCTCTAAAAGGTTTTCAGAAAAGCTGGCAATAGTAAAACCATGTTACAAGCCTTAAAGCCATTGAAGTCATTAAGGTCCCTGAAAATGGCTATAAGAAATTTTAATAATGAAACCATTTCATAAGACATGAGCTAATTTTAAAGCTTCATATAACTAGTACAAATGATTTGGTGGAATTTCTAAATGTTAGTAAAAAATAAAAAAATAAAGGTGTTCAGTATTGGGCTGAGGGCTTTATGCCTTTTCATTTAGGAAGCAGAAAACTAACTTTCCCAAAGATACGGTGTATGTGTGGGGGAACCAGTATAGGAATGGGCCTTCCTGCCTTCACAGTCCTCCCTGTGCCCAGGGCTTCCCCACTGACATGGGCCAAATCATTCTTTGTGGGGCATCCTAGGGACTGCAGGGTGTTGTGCAGCACCTCTCGCCTCCATCCGCATGATGCCAACAGCACCCAAGCCAGGTGGGACAGCCCAAACTGCTCCAGACATTGCTCATGTCCCCTGGGGATAGACTGGCACTACCCAGCATGCCAGGCTGCCTCTGATCATGTTGTCACAGCCTAGCCTTCTCAACCTGTAGTCTGCCACCTGAATGAGCCATGTGTAAAGCCTAGGGAGTGTCTGTGGACAGCAAACATGGGGCCAGCAGAATCCGCAGCCTTTAGGGAGGTGAGAAAACCACTTACCCTGCCCAGGACATCAAGAGGCAACTTCGAGTTCATGAGAACTGGCTTAACTTTGTCTCCAGAGAGCAAGCCATTTATAGGTAACAAGCTTTCAAAAATTCCATCGAATTTTGCCTTTTCTTCCACCTAGTTGGAAAGAAATAGCCCAAGTGAGTAAAAAAGTGGGCCTGTGGGAGAGTCTAAAGTGAGCTGGAAGCTCAATGAACGTGGGCGAGGATCCACCCCAGGCCTCACCTAAATGCACAAGACAGTCTTACAGCAGTTCCAGAATGAACTTATGCCCTGCAAGAAACCTCCTCTGATACCCATGGATCTGGCAGTCAAGATCAATAGGAGAGAGAGGATCTGACCCCAGGGGCTGCCAGGGAGATAAACATCACTCCTTCTGTGTCCTAGGACAAGAGCATGCATGGATTTTAGTTCTTTAAACAAGGAACTAAATCTAGATATCAATCTACAGAACTAACAGAATTAAAAAGCCAAATATAAAAGTAAACCAAAGATTTGCCCGGACAGTGTAGCTCAGTGGTTGAGCTTCGGCCCATGAATCAGGAGATCATGGTTCGATTCCCAGTCAGGGCATGTGCCTAGGCTGCAGGCTCGATCCCCAGGAGGGGGAATCATGCAGGAAGCAGCCGATCAATGTTTCTCTCTCATCGATGTTTCTATCTCTCTATCCCTCCCCCTTCCTCTCTCTAAAATCAATAAAAATATATTAGCCCTAGTCAGTTTGGCTTAGTGGATAGAGCCTCAGCCTGCAGGTTGAAAGGTCCCAGGTTCGATTCCGGTCAAGGGCACATGCCTGGGTTGCGGGCTCGATTCCCAGTGTGGTGTGCAGGAAGCAGCCAATCAATGATTCTCTCTTATCATTGATGTTTCTATCTCTCTCTCCCTCTTCCTTCCTCTCTGAAATTAATAAAAACATATTTTAAAAAATAAAACAAAGATTTAAGTAACTAGTTATCTAAATCAGCATTAAACTAGGAAGTTCCCTTGTCTAACAGTAAAATAATAAATAATAAAAATTCCTCATTAACAGAGTGAAGGTCTGGGCAGAGCAGTAGCTCCTGCTATTTTGAAATATGACATGAGGACAGCATATAAAGGGGGCTGTTGGTGAGGAAGTTTTGGGTGGGAGATTCCAATATACCTCCTGCAGAGATAGAGCCTGCAGTAACTGCAACCAGGAGACCGAAGACCTCTCACCACCCGCTCTGACTACAAGCTGAAACCACTGGGAGCCCTAGGAAAACACTCTCAACAAGTGTTCCTCAAAAAAAAAAAAAGCAGCAGCAAAATGTGGTTCACACAGACACTGGAGTAACATTCAATCTTAAACAGGAGGAAATTCTGACACGAGCTTCAGCATGGATGAGTCTGGAGGACATTATGCTAAGTGAAATAAGCCAGACACCAAGGACAAATTCTGTGTCATTCCACTTATATGAGGTCCCTAACGTGGTCACACTCACAGAGACAGAAAGCAGAATGGTGGGTGTTGGGGGCTGGGAGAAGTGAACAGGGAGTTAGTGTTTAATGGAGACAGAGTTTGTGTTTAGAATATGAACAAGTTCTAAGAATGGATAGTGGTGATGGCTGCACAATGTGAATGTACTTCACACAACTGAACTGTACACTTAAAAATCATTAAGATGGTGAACTTTGTTATGTGTATTTAATCACACACACACAAAAAAGAACAAGAAGATGACCAGACACTGCACATATGAGCCACTGTGAGCGATAAGAAGCCAAACACTCTATGTCTGCCTTGAGCGTTGGGCTTCTCCCGCTGATCTGTCAGGCTCAGTGACTTGGTGCTTCAAGAAATCCAGAAACTTTCACAACAGAAAAGAACACTTGGCCCTTCAGGTTTGTTTGTCATGGTTCTCTCTGAATGGAATCTCTCTTGAAAATAGTCTACCCCATCCCAGCCCCACTTCCACCCTGACTGTCTACCCTCCTCAAGGCCTCAAAGGCTCCTCAGCTCCACGCCCTCTTCCTGAGGCCTCCACATGGCTCCCACCAGAAAGAGACCAGAAGTGTTCAAGGAATAAGATCTCTTTGGTGCCATTTTTCATGACAAAGCAGCCCTTTTTCAAAGCAAGCATCATGCAACTGAACGATGGTTAAAGAAAAAGTCCTTTGCTACTGGGATCACCACCAGGAAACTGCTCGATTGCTCACAGAGGAAACTTCACCACTCCTTGGTCACATGAGGCCTCTGCCTGCCCTGTCTCTGCACAGACCTCTCTCCATCTAAACCTTTCCAAGGAGAGAACAGACCAACTCTGTAAAAACAGAAAAGAAGCACTTGGGGGCTGGAGGGGGTCAATATTTTATAGCAAGACTGTTGTTAATGTCAGTATTTAAGCCAAATAAAAGTGAGGAAATGTGACAATCCTCTCACAGTGAGTGGGAGTGAGGAAGTCTCATCATTATCTGAGGGACCATCTCTGCATCCCCATGAGCATTTCCTTTAGGAGTCATTCTGCACTTACTGGAAGACACCACTCATTTTTCTTTTTCTAGAAGCAGTAAAACAGCTTTCCAGCCATAACATCTCTTTCTTAAAAGTTTATGTGCTGAGAGAAGCTTCAAAAAGCAATGAAGACATCAGAGAAGGAAGAGTGATAACATATAAGCTAGCTAGAAATGATAGAAAGAGTTGCAAAAACATGCTGGAGGTCCTAAAAGCTTGCAAGTTCTCACAATTTCCCCTCTATCCTGATTAAGCAATCCAAGCAGCAGAAACCACAGAACATGACCTAGAAATGCAAGGCCATAGCTGCTCTGAAGACTTTCATTCGAAAAAGTATTTCATCCCAATTCTATGGCATACTCACTCTGAAGTACAGATGACACAATCCTATAAAATATTTGAATCAACATTATAAATGGCTAAACAACTGCACATGAAGGCCAGCCAAGGGGTGTCACCCCTGTCACTTACCCTCACAGCCCAAAGAGCCTCTGCAGAAGGTGGTGTGACCATCAAAGGGCTGCTGGTGTCATGCTGGGGAGAAAAGAGAAAGAATCTGCTGTGACTGACACAGAATTGAATTACAGGAACATGTGTTTATGTTAAGGATACACATTTCAAAGTGCTTTCACAACTGGGGAAGACCTGGCGCGCTCGCCCTCTGGGAACATACCCATGCTGTCCCCTCCCCCCTCTTCTTCCCTCTCAGGCATGCATCTCCTAAACTTTAAGGGACCCCAGGAGACTTGCAACCAGGGAAGCAATGGGCAACGGCAGCTCATCCCAGGCTTACCCCCTGAACCTGTCTCCAAGGGCCCCTTTTCTTTGCCTTTCCAGTGAGCTGACAGCAGCCACACCTTGGCTCAGTTCTTTCCCCTAACGTTTCTAGAGCCAAAGCAGCCCCACATAGTCTTTCTCCTGTTGTTTCCTATATCCAAGGCCCTTCCTTGTTTCACTGTCCCCAGCTTTAATAAACATACTTTCAAAATAAATATTAAAACAAAGGGGGAAGACCTCAAAAAGTTAAACACAATGACCATAAGACCCAGCAATTCTACTCTGAGGTTTGCACTGAAAAGAAGTGAAAACAGGTGTGCAAATCCTTATATATGAATTTTTATGTCCACTAGCAGATGAGCAGATTAAACAAATGGGTGGGTCATACAATGCAATCTTTCTCAGCCATGAAAAGGAATGAAGCATCGACACACACTACAAAGTGGATGAATCTTGACATTATACTGAGTGAAAGTCAGATGTATGATTCCATAAAATGTCTAGAACGGGCAAACCAGAGACAGAAGCAGATTAGTGGCTGCCAGTGGCTGGGGAAGGGGAAATAGGGAGTGATTACTTAATGGGTAGAGGGCTTCCTTTTGGGGTGATGAAAATGTTCTAGAACTAGATAGAGGTAATGGTTGCACAATATTGTGAATGCATGAAATGTCACCAAATTGTTCATAATTTTAGGTTATGTGAATTTCATCTCAATAAAAAGGGGAAAAAGAAAACATGGAGAGAGAGGCAGGCAGACAGAGAGATACAAATGGGTAGTATTACAAGGTGAATTGGAAGGATTTTGACACTTACGAATTTAGGCGGTGGCATGTTCAAACTCAGATTGCTCAAGGTAACTTCATGGCCACTCTGTGCACAGGCCACTAGTCTCAGTGCAACATAGAAACCCTGCAAATCCAAAAGGAGGAGGATGTATAAATCCTACCCAGCCGGCAGTGGCAGCAGAGGAAGAGCTGTCTGTGGCAGCAGGCTTTATGGTTCTCAACCTTCCTAATGCCGAGACCCTTTAATACAGTCCCTCATGTTGGGGTGAACCCCAACCATAAAATTATTTTCGTTGCTACTTCATAACTGTAATTTTGCTACTGTTATGAATCGTAATGTAAATACCTGATATGCAGGATGTATTTAGGCGACCCCTGTGAAAGGGTCGTTCAATCCCCAAAGGGGTCTCGACCCACAGGTTGAGAACCGCTGCTTTACGGAAAGAAGGATTTCAGTTCACGTCAACAGAGATTGCATGTGCAAAAGTCACTTACAGTGTCAAGGTGAACTGATCTCACCTTGGAAGCATTGTTTAAATGAGTATGCTAAAACAGACTGAGCCCATTTGCATCCTGAATGCTGTAAAATTTCAAATAAATGTATTTTCAAAAATAATCAGCTCCCAACACTTAGGAAATGCTAGATTGTATAACTAGCAAGCTTAACATGTTGAAGACTGTGAATTATGACTCATATGTGTGACTTTTTAAACATGGTTTGAAATAGATACAGCTGTTGGGGAATTTACATTCAGGATTCCTGTGATCCCCTTGGCTGGCCTCACTGAACAGGGCATCCCCTGCCCACCCACCTCCACCTGTCATGGCCTGAGGTGGACTTCACCTGCCCTGCAGGGACAAAGGACCTGAACTAGGCAATCCGCAGCCTTGGCTCCTCCCTGCCCTCCTCCTAACCCTGAACAAGCCTCACCACAGGCTTAGTGAACTCATGAAGCATCACCTGATTTTTTTTAATTGATCAACTGGATCCAGAACATAGACTTTTTTTTTTTTTTAATATTTTTTGTTTGTTTTAACATGGACTGTTTTAAAACTACAATTACAGTATTTTTTAATGTCTTCAAAGAGATAAGCAATAGATCAGTCTTCCTCAAGCTGCTGGCCACAGAATGCCCATGTAGAGTGTCAAATAAAGGGGACATAAGCCCTAGCCGGTTTGGCTCAGTGGATAGAACATCGGCCTGCAAACTGAAGGGCCCTGGGTTCGATTCTGGTCAAGGGCACAGGCCTGGGTTTCAGGCTCAATCCCCAGTAGAAGGCAGCCAATCAATGATTCTCTCTCATCAGTGATGTTTCTATCTCTCTCTCTCTCCCCCTTCCTCTCTGAAATCAATAAAAAATATATTTTAAAAAGGGAGGGGCATAAGTTTAGGGGGACTAAATTAGGAAAAGGTAACAGGCTTCTTTCCATTGAGGATATTCAGACCTTAACATGCATATACACAGTGTGAACCTCAAGGAGGGGGGAATAGTGGATGAAGCTTTCCCGATGGATCAGATCCTGAACGGTGAGATACCAGGAACAACATCACTTGGAATGCAGTTTAGGGAAAAGCTGAGTTAAATTAAAATACGACCATTTAATATCATTTGTAAGTACTATAAATTTCCATTTATAGAACATTCTTGAAATGATGAAATTGAAATGGAGAAGGAACCAGCAGTTGCCAGGGAGTATGGTGTGACTACCAAGGGCAGCAGATGAGGGATTGATTCACTGTGGTGCTGGGGCAGGTCTATGTCCTGACTGTGGTGATGGTTATGGGAATCTACGCAAGTGATAACATGATACAGAACGACACACACCAAAAAAAAAAAAAAACCAAAGAAGTGCTTATAAAACTGGTCAGCTCTGAGTAAGGTCTCTTACTGTTTTAGTACTGCCTTGGCTCTGATCATTGTGCTATAGTGACAAAAGCAACTCTCACTGGGGGAGGTGAGGAAGGAGACACGGGAACTCTGAACCATTTCTGCAACTTCCATGAGAGTCGGAAGTTATTTCAAAATAAAATGTTTTTGGAAACATTTTAATCACTTGTAAGCACACAAAATATGAAAAGATATGCTAACCATGAAAGATGGCTCCAAATGTTCAACAAAAGGTCTTTATTTATAAAGAAAATCTTCCCATTTTAACAATTTGACAACTGCACTTTTGTCTAGTGACATGTGTCAGTGGTACGAACAGGAAGGAAGTGCAGAGGAGGCAGCCTGAGGGCTCTGACCTGGCCCTTCCACTTGGTCTGAGCATACGTGTATATACCTGTTTGTCCAAGAACCCTTTACCTTCTGGGTCGGCCAAGTCCCATATCTGTAGAAACAGAAAAATTCTCATAAGTGTGACTGCTGATCACTGCTCATTTATTCACAAAACAGGAGCCACCACCATTACATGAAGGTCTTAAGGGAAGGCCGGAGCAATCTCCAATTTGTGGCAGGTGAATGACCTGTGCCTCTCCCTCCGCCAGCCCATGGCAGAGCCCCAAGAACACCCAGGTCCATTCAGCTCCCAGGCTGACACAAATCCATAAGCTGTCAAGACCCCTGAAAGCCTCTTGTCTGCTACCTAAGCAGCGAGTGGCAGCTGCCACCAGAGCATGTGGACCCACCTTTTACAGCCCTATTACAGAGGGTGGCAATGGCCTATCCACTCCCAGGAGGCCTGTCCCCAAGAAAAGGGGTCTGCAGAGCACATCCTTCCACCTGCTGGGGAAGCCCCAAGGGCAGCCACAGAAACACCCTGTCTTGACGTACCTTCCCAAGGATAATGTCTGAGAGCCCAGACTTCTTTAGAAAAAGTGCAGCTTCACTGGCTCCAACTCTCCCTGTGTATGCTGGGTCTACCTGCAATGGGAGAGCGACACTGAGATGTAGCTTCAGGAAGCAGAGCAGCAGATAAGGCAGCAGCCACCACACTAACTGGGGCTGATAATCCAGAGAACAGAAGGGACCAGAGGTCACACCCGGCTTCAGTACAGGGCTGTGCTTTCTGGGTCACTCACTCTAGAGTTCCATCCAAAAAGATACCAGTGAAACTTACCTGCTTGTAATAAGACTCATACAGTGGATTTCCAGTGGGAATCTGTAAACAAAACCAGATATTGGTTAAAAGTAGACATACCCCTCTCTCAATTTTATTACCAAAATATAAAATAGTGAAAGAAATTGCACTTTAAACAACCTCTACAGACACACTGCAGTTTATTTTCAGCTATAGACACTACACTTACTTGAATTAGAAAAAGGAAATGCTAATGCTCTTTAACAAATCCCAATTTCTACACCAACAACATGATTGTTCAGGCAGGAGTGACAGCCCAGAGTCGATTTCCATGTGCTGAATGATGGAATTCAATGTGTCTGGGAGCTCAAAGAAAGACACCCTTTTACTGTGAGATCATTCTCTGGCTCCAGAATCAGGAGTCTCTGCATGTCATCATGAAATCACCAGACATGCAAGCATCAAACCGGTTTCCCAGCCCCAGATTTCATCCCCACCTGCCACCAAGGGACTATGCAGAAATGCACATTGACCAGCCCACTGGAAAAGAACTGGCCAGTGACACTCCCACTATGATAGGCAGGAAGTTCAAAGTCCTTGGCTCAGCACAAGATACTCCATATTCCAGAGTATAAATCCCCAAGACACTGCTGTTAACTGCCTTGTCCAGTGTCATGTGGCAAGTCAAGGATCCAGCCCGGTTAGCAGCTGAGCCCCTGCACTTCCCACCATGCCCAGGACCTCTCTTCCCGTGGGGAAGGGAGGATAACCAGGGGAGGGGCAGATGGGAAGGAATTAAGCAGCCACTAAGATGTGGGCTATAAAGATTGACACATGGTGGTGGTTTGCTTGTTCGTTTGTTTTTAAGATTTTTAAATTGATTTTTAGAGAGAGGGAGAGTGAGAGCAACCCTGATGTGAGAGAAACATCGATGGGCTTCCTCCTTTTGCATGCCCTCTACTGGGGATCGAACGCAACCTGGGCATGTGCCCTGACTGGGAATTGAACCAGCAACCTTTTGGTGCACAGGATGATGCCCAAACAAACCACAACGGCTAGGGCAATGTTGGTGTCTTACAGTGTGCAGGGAGCAAAGCAGTATACAAACCTGCTGTTGATTAAGTAAGCAAAGAAACGTGAAGACAACACCATTACCTATATACTAGAGGCCCAGTGCATGAATTCGTGCAGGGGTGGGGTCCCTTGGGGTGGCCTGCATAGGTCAAGGCCCCAGCTCGATCCCCCAGCCTCACAGCTCAACAGTCCTGCCTGGCACCCCTCCGTGGCCTGGTGCCACCCCCTCACCTGCTCCACCATCCCGCCTGCGGGGCGATTGATCGGTGCCAGGCCCCCCTCCCGGCTCCCTCAGCGCCTGGGACCCATGCAGGGTCCCAGGCAGGGCACATACCTAGGTTTCAGGTTCCATCCTGGGTCAGGGTGTATACAGAGGCAACCGATAGATGTCGACCTCTCCCTCCCTCTCTCTCTGAAATCAATGAACATCCCCTTGGGTCAGGATTAAGAAGAAGAAGAAAAAAAAAACTAAGAAAGGCTGGAAGGTAATGAGTGATGGCTTGAGAAAGAAAAGGTGATACCACCAATGAGGATTAAGAAGTATGCTGCTGTATCAGCTCCCTGCCCAGAGCTCTTACCTGACACCATCACTGGGGGAGGCTGTCACCCTTAGCTCCTTATGACCTTAGGGGACAGTGTCCACCATCACACTCTGTGTGGCCTCCTAGGTTTAAAACTCCGCATGCCTTCAAAACACTCCCATCTCCCAGAGGATTAAGGCTGACAGGGGAAGTAAAGTCAGGCAGGCTATTTGTCATCTCTTAGTCAAGGTGACAGGGCCGCGCCAATATAGCACAGCACATGCCACTGACACTAGAGTGGAATGCACAGACTCAGAGGTCTGCACTATGACAACAAAGGTCCCCTTCCCACCAAAATTCAGCAAGGCACAGGTATGAAGTGCATTTCTCATGGGTGTTCATTTTTTTTTTTTAAAAAAATCTCATGGCAGGCAAGAAAGGTTTCCAAGCTACTGTAAGTCCAGTGAAAAAAGTTACAGTATTTGGGGAAGACAGTGTTAACAATGGTCTCAAACTTGCCAAATGCCTTTGAGCTTCAAGATCCATGATCAAGAGAAACAAGGCCCTAAATAGTCCAGAAAAGTCTAAAGCACCAGACCCAAAGCTCCCCTCATCTGTGCTGAGGACTTACTCCAGTCTAGGGCCAGGTGTCAATCCCAAATCACCTCAACTGACGGAAAGACCAGACTGTGCCTCTGCCCCTCTTCTCTAACTACAGGATTTAACTTGGGTAAACTGGGGCAATGAAGCAGATACAGGTTTGGATTTCATTACATATAATTCAGCTACTGCAAAAGCAGAAGGGGAGGAAAGAAGGGAAAACACCAGATATAACCGGCACTTCCTCTTAACACACTACTTTCTCACATGGATGGTGGTTACACATGCAAGCTGCCCAAAATGCCACTGCGACAAAGCTGAATATGCATACTATTTTAATATATTTTAATTGATTTCAGAGAGGAAGGGGGAGGGAGAGAGAGATAGAAACATCAATGATGAGAGAGAATCAGTGATTGGCTGCCTCCTGCACACCCCTACAGGGGACTGAGCCCGCAACTGGGCATGTGCCCTTGACTGGAATCGAACTCGGAACCTGTCAGTCTGCAGGCTGACGCTCTATCCACTGACCCAAACCAGCTAGGGCTGAACATGCATGCTATTAATGCCATCAATCTCGCAAATGTTGGACAATCTGTGTGGCCAGTGCTTGCACAGAGACCTCAGTACAACCAGCTGGCTGGTGGGGCAGCAGCTCCCAGAGGATGCATCAAAGCTACTGGGACAAGGCCCTCCAAGCTGCCTGCCTATGTCTAACCCCAAAGTAAGCCCAGGGCCAAGCACTGGGCAAAGGCAGAAAAAGAACAGGCCAGGGGACAAGGCTTTCAGTGTAAGAGAAGCAAGGCCCTGGCAGGGTAGTTCAAGGTTATGGGTTTGATCCCCAATAAGGGCACATACAAGAAGCAACCAATGAATGCATAAATAAGTGGAACAACAAATCAATGTTCCCCTCTCTCTTTCTCGTCCTTCCTCTCTCTAAAATCAATACATAAAAATTAAAATAAAGAACGGAAGCAAGATGGGCATGGCATTCTCCTTCATCAGCCCACTGTACTAATAAAATGCCATCTTCAACTAGGCATTGTCTGAATTATGGATGAGTTTCAGTAAGTTTTAGTTTGACCTTTTAGTTGCTCTTCATGTCTTCTTCTTTAAATAAATTTTTTTTTTTTTTAATATTTTTTTTAAAATATATTTTATTGATTTTTTACAGAGAAGAAGGGAGAGAGATAGTTAGAAACATCGATGAGAGAGGAACATCGATCAGCTGCCTCCTGCACATCTCCTACTGGGGATGTGCCCGCAACCCAGGTACATGCCCTTGACCGGAATCGAACCCGGGACCTTTCAGTCCGCAGGCCGACGCTCTATCCACTGAGCCAAACCGGTTTTGGCTAAATTTTTATTTTTAATTACAGTTGACGTACAATATTATACTAGTTCCAGGTGTTCAACCCCATGATTAGAAATTTATATAACTTACAAAATGATCACCCTCATAAATCTAGTGCCCATTTGACACCACAGTTATTAAATATTATCCTATATAATAAAAGCCTAATATGCAAATTGTCCCCTCGGGTGGTCATTTCACCAGGAGTTAACTGTTCGCTATGACATGTGCTGACCACCAGGGGGTGGTGTGGAACATGACGGGCATCCGCAACGCAGCGCTGGCAGCGGGAGGCGTGGAGGGCGCTGCTGGCCCCGATGGGCCCCGATGAGAGCGGGACCACAGCGGGATGGTTGAGCAGGTGAGCGGGTGGCTCCAGGCCACAGTGGGGTGCCCGGCAGGGCTGCAGGGCTGCAGGGCTGCAAGGCTGGGGGCACAAGCTGAAGCCCAAACACCGCAGGCTACCCCGAGTGACCCCACCTGTGCAAGAATTTGTGCACCAGGCCTCTAGTTATATAATAAAAGCCTAAGCCACCATTATGGCGTAACAACCAGAACGACTGGTCACTATGATGCACACTGACCACCAGGGGCAGGTGCTCAACTCAGGACTGCCCCATTGTGGTCAGTGCACTCCCACAGGGGGAGCACCACTCAGCCAGAAGTCGGACTTACGGCTGGTGAGCGCAGCGGCAGTGGAGGGAGCCTCTCCCGCCACCGCCTCCGCAGCAGCGCTCAGGAGCAGCGAGTTGAGCGGTAAGGAGCAGCAAGCAGTAAGGAGCGAGGGGTCCCAGACTGCGAGAGGGCGCAGGTTGGGCTGAGGGAACGCCTCCCCCCCCCCCCCGCCCCCATGCATGAACTTCATGCACCGGGCCTCTAGTTGACTATATTCCCTTTTTACATCCCCATGACTATTCTGTAAATACCAATTTATACTTCAACTTTATCACCCAGCCCCTTAACCCCCTTCCCATCTGGCAACTGTCAAAATATTCTCTCTATGTGAGTCTGTTTCTGTTCTGCTTGCTCATTATTTTTTTTAGATTCCACAGGTAAGTGAAGTCATCTGGCGTTTGTCTTTCTTTGTCTGACTTATTTACTCAGCACAATACCCTCTACGTCCATACAGGTTGTTGCAGATGCAGGATTTCATTTTTTAGGACTGAATCATATTCTACTCTATATATGCACCACTTCTTCTTTATCCATTCATCTACTGACAGACACTTAGGTTGCTTCCATATCTTGGCTATTGTAAATAATGCTTCAATAAATATATGGCGGATGTGGCTCAGGTGGTTAGAGATTGTCCTGCACACTTAAGGCCATGGGTTGGATTCCTGGTCAGAGCACATACCTAGATTATGGGTTTGGTCCCCATCAATCTCTCTCTCTCTCTTTCCCTTTCTTTCTTTCTTTCTTTCTTTCTTTCTTTCTTTCTTTCTTTCTTTCTTTCTCTTTCTTTCTCTCTCTCTCTCTCTCTCAACATATCCTCAGGTGAAAAATAAATGAGTGAATAAATAAATCCCTTTAAAAACAAACAAAAATATGTATGTATATTTCTTTTCAAGTTAGTGTTTTGGGTTTCTTCAGATAAATACCCAGAAGTGAAATTGCTGGATTCATCTCTGTCACTTTTTGTAGTGTTTGTTTTAAAGTCTATTTTGTCTGGTATAAGTATTGCTACCCCAGATTGTTTTTGTTTTGTTCTACTACCCCATATCTTTTGTTGGTTTGTTTCCATCTTCATGAAATGTCTTTTCCATCCCTTTATTTTCAGTCTGTTTGTCTTTTGACCAGAGTGAGTCTCTTATAGACAGCATATGTAAGGGTCTTATTATCCATTCAGCCTCTGTATGTCTTTTGATTGGAGCATTTAATCCATTTGCATTTAAAGTAGTTGTTTATATATTGCCATTTTATTATTCATATTTTTCATCTTTTTGTTTTCCTCTTCATCTTAAAGAAGTCCCTTTAACATTTCTTGTAAAAATGGTTTGGTGGTGATGAACTCCTTTAGCCTTTTCTTGTCTGGGAAGCTTTTTATCTGTCCTTTAATCTAAATGATAAATGATAGTTGCGCTGGGTAATCTTGGTTGAAGGTCCTTGCTCTTCATTACTTTGAATATGTTTTGCCACCCCCTTCTGGCCTGATAAGTTAAGGAATCAGCTGACAGTCTTATGGGAGCTCCCTTGTATGTAAGTAACTGCTTTACTCTTTTTTTAATCCTCACCCAATGATATGCCTATTGAATTTTAGAGAAAGAAATATCAATTGTCTCCCATATGCGCCCCAACCAGGGATCAAACCGCAACCTAGCTATATGCCCTGAGAGGGAATCAAACCCAACCTCTTGGTGTACGAGACAATGTTGC